TCAAGGCCTTCCGCGCGAGGGGGGGGGGGGGGGAGGATGGAGAGTCTCCACCGATAATGCTGGCAAGGAAGAAGAGGAAGCAAACAGATGGACCAAACAGAGAAGAAGTGTCGGGGACGGGAGGATCGATGAGTACTCACGCCGGCGATGAGCTCGTCGCCCGGCTCGAGGTATTCAAACTTGGTCTGATCAAAAAGCAACTGGGACCAGCTTTCTTCTACGAGGCCCAGCTGCTTGGCCACTGCATTGCAAATGTTGCGGCGCATCTTTGGGCTCTCCTCGCGATCTAAGCAATTTGATGTTCCAGACAATGGGCACCCAGCACGGCACGCGGGGTCAGCGTGGAGCCGTTGCGCTCAACGATCAATCCAGCAAAGCCCCTGATTTTGATGGAAAGCGTTTGCCGAGTACGGACCGCGCATGGTGTCAAAACAGTCATCCGAGGGCGCTTCAAACTCAACGCCAGTAGCGGTGGACGTGCGGATGGGTGTGACCCCCTTGCCATTGCGCACGCCTGGATGAGTCAGCTCGGCCGATAGGCCTAAGTTACAATGTTGTTGAAGATTGTGAGATTGGGCAAGTCGTGGTGAGTTCTGCCGCCTGCGCCATGATGGAGCGCAAGGAGGAGCTCTACACGAAAGCTGGAAGAAAAGGGCGGACTTTGGGACAAAAAGACATACCCAGGAATCGAAAGAGGGCGACAAAGGTCACACGTTGGGTACGCAGCGTCACAGCCTGCACAAGCTGCTGATACGCTGCTGGGTGACGGGAGACCACCGCACGAAATCCTGCAATTGGAATTCGAATGACCTGGCAGAAAGACAACCGCAAGAGTCTTGTGAGTGGTGGCCAGCACCGAGGTCCTGCATGGACCTGGTGCGAACGCCTGGGACATGAACTCAAGGCGACCAAAGATAGGGCGCACCTGAGTGTCATTCGCGGCTGCACGGGCAAACACAGTCTTGTACTCTGAATCTACACCCGCAAGGTGCTCAATAATGCTGACGAGTGATGACACGTGTTCACCAGGGCCCAGGGTGGATAGGAGGAGGTCTTCCTTCTCCTTGCCCGGATGCACGCAAAAGAGTTGAATGACGCCTGTGACGAGTCGGACGCGTCATGAAGTTGTCATGAATGAGTGGTTGTGGCTCACAAAGTGTGGTGGGGCGCAGGATGAGAAGGTACCTTGCTGGACGATGAAGACCGAGTTGTCCTGCTCGCCAATCTACGTAGAAATGAAACGTGTACAGGGCCAGAAGGGAGGATCAACAACCCGGATTGCAGGGATGAGCATGTTACGTTTCTTGACCAGCAAGTGAGCAAACGCGGCGGTTGCTCATGGATCGGGGCCTCTACCTTGAAGAGGTACTGCTCTCTATCCAAATGAACCGTCTCAAGATGGTTGGCCCTAAAGTTTCAAGAGAGAACGGCCCAATGTGTGGGCACCCACGTTTGTCAGAAGCAGAAAGGTCACTGAGACTGAACACACGCGCTCATGTGTGTGTGCGCATCGGTCAAAATGCTCAAGAAGGAAGCAAGGATAGAAGCGAGTAATTACGGACAGTTCATCGAAGACGGCGTCTTCAAAAGAGCCGAAAATACGCAGAGAGCGCAATGTTAGTCTGAGTGGTCAAATATCCGCAACCATGGACAAGTGCTCAAGTGAGCCTGTGCAGTCAACCGGATCGGCCACGATTGCAGACAAGCAACAAGGTAGAGGCTTCATTTCTGTGCAACGACTGACCTGGCTTGGGCTGATTGGGGATCAAGGTCCTCGACGCCCTTGGGATCAGCCTATGAGGGATGTGCGTGGCCAGCCTTGTGAGTGTACGACCAACTAGCCAGACCCCCGAGAGAGGAAAAGGTTGGGGCGCCCACGATGGCTCGCATTGAGTTGTGAGAACAAACTCAACTGCGCGTGTACCTGAGGCTCGAGGAGACTGTGTTCCGGGGCCTTGGGAAGCAGCAAGTTTTCCCGGGGGTTGTTCTTGATCAAGCGCATGACACGGCGAGCAATTTGCCGCATGCGGGGTCTGATTGTTGCAAGTCTTGTGAGGGGCAAACCATTCGCGTTTACGACGATGGGCCGTGCGTCTGTGTGTCTGTGTGTGTCTGTGTTATTGTACGAAAAGTGGGTCGGGAGAGGCGGAGAGGCAAAGGCCCGTACTTCTTGCCACGGACGGTCGCAGGGTTGATGGCGCCTGGGAAGACGATGGACTCTGTCCGCGTCATTTTGGAGGCCCGGCGCACGACCTGCGGCACCCACCAAACCATCGAACTGCCGATGAGCAAGTCAAGCGAAGGGACGGGACATCTGACATGACATGTGTGTGGAGGTCGTTGCGGAAGAAGATCAGAAGGATCTCGGTGCCGACATACACGATTGAACCAGAGAGTAACAATGTCACGCTTGCGAATCTTAGCATGGTCCTCCAGGCTGAGCCGAGTCCGGAGACGCCGTTGTTCATCGCGGGCTTGCAAGTAGACGGCCAAGGTGATAAAGGTCCCAGTCAATAACAATGAGCTCAACAAGGCCTAAGGTACAATGATGAAGGATTGAGGACAACCAGGTCGAAACAGTGGCGCAGCTGAGGCAGTCAAGGCAGTTTAACCGAGTCGATGCCCTTGGACAACGACGGTGTGCGTACATATTGATAGATGAGAGCTGACAGGGAGCCACTCAAGGCGGTGAGCACACTCAGGAGCCAGGGATCCACGGGCCACGAGGCATTGGGGTCCATGGCAGCGAGTGCCCGGGCAAGTTGAGTTGGTGTGAAGAGCACTATTTCCTCGCCGCTATGAGAACAGCTGCTCAGACGCTTTGAAAGAGGCTCTTGCAGTTGGTTGTCGTGGCTGGAGCTAGACGAGTTTGCAAGGCGCGAGCGAGCGAGAGCGTGAGTGAGAGAGTGTGTGTGAGAGGAAAAAAAACAAATCAGCTGCTCGGTGTGATGCAATGCATGAAAACAACCGGCACAATGCAGGCGTCTGTCAAGGAGCGTGGCTTTCAACTCATGCCCAATGATCAACTGGCGGCAACACTACCCGGCCAGCATCGCACCGCCCTTTAACGGCTCCAGGGGCGCTTTTTGCTCCATCAATCAAGTCACCCAATCCGTTTTGCTGACCTTGGCTGTTGTTGTTGTTGTTGTCATGTGTGTGTGAATAGTGCGAAGCTGGCACTTCTCTCTCTTTCTCTCTCTCTCTCTCTCTTTCTCTCTCTCTCTCTCTCTCTCTCTCTCTCTCTCTCTCTCTCTCTCTCTCTCTCTCTCTTTCTTTCTCTCTCTCTCTTGTTGTCTGTGATGATGATTGCTGAAAAGGTTTCAAAAAGGATGACATTAATGTCTGACATCTGACAAATCGGATTGCTCTGGATGTCGAAATCGTGTCGTGTGGTATGTGGACAGTGTCGCACTTTGTCACGCTATACTAATTTGTTTGCCAACAGAATGTCGCAATCCGTGCTGACAACCAAAACTGCCCCTTGCACCTTGCACACGCAAGCACACACACAAAGAATGCCTATGGCTAGCTTCTGGCTTGTTAAGGGAAATGGCTCACGATGTGTGTGTGTGTGTGTGTGTTGTGTGTGTGTGTTGTGTGTGTGTTGTGTGTGTGTGTGTGTGTGTGTCAGTGGCTTCAATGACCTTGGTGCAATCGTCAAAGTGGCAGCCGCACCGCACCGCACCGCAACTTGTTGGCCTTCCCAATACAATACATCTGATGCAGCTTCCTCTCATTCCTCTTGCTCCTCCTTGTTGCTCTTCATCTCCTCTCTGCCTGCCTGCTTGCTGGCTGTCGACCCTTATCTACCCTTCTTCTCTGGCCTGATCAAGTCAGAGAACGACACTTTGTGCATTTTCAGAGCTCGAGTTGCTCAAGAAGGTGTGTAAGCCACGTCTGTCTGCCGGCACCGCGCACACCAACGCTGTGTGGCATGTAGCTCTGCGCATCGCTTATCAAAGTGGTGGCTGGTGTCGTAGATCTCCACCAACCGTGACCATGGCTTTGCGGCGTACGCCTCAACAATTCTTCCAAATGTCCCGGTCCATGGCCGCGTCCTCCTCGGTCTGGGCGGACGTCCCCATGGGCCCACCCGATGCCATTCTGGGCATCACCGAGGCCTTTAAGAAGGACACCAGTAGCGTCAAGGCCAACCTCGGCGTCGGTGCCTATCGCACAGATGAGGGCAAGCCGTTTGTCCTTTCCTGCGTCCGCAAGGTAGCACGCTTGCTTCCCCCATCAAACATCGTTCTCGGTCTCGGGACAAGACGCGCCCAGCCACCCTGCACACATTCATGCCTCGGCCTCGTAGGCGGAAGAACGCATCCTTCAAGAAAACTTGAACAAGGAATATGCTGCCATTACAGGCGTGGATGAGTTTCGCGGCCTCGCCGCCCGCCTAGCCTACGGCCCAAACTCCCCCGCACTGCAGGACAAGCGAGTACGTTTCACTGCCTTTGCCGGACTTTGCGGCCTCGAGTACGGGTCACGCCACTCGGATACCCGTTTCTTGTATTGTCTTGTATTGTTGGTTCCTTGGTTCTCAATTGCCTTTTTTTTTTTAATGTACATCCACTGTGCATTCGAAGGTGGCAACGGCACAAGCGTTGAGCGGCACGGGCGCGCTCCGCGTTGCTGGACATCTCATGGTAAGCTCCTAACTTCGCACAGCCGTCCTCTTCTTCCTCCTCTTCTTCTTCTTCATCTTTTCCCTCTCCTTGTCCCCTGGCTGCTGATGCATTTGAGCTCATGTGCTTCTTTGACTAGAAACGTTTTGTTTATCAAAACAGTGCCAAGCCAACCATTTGGATGCCGACCCCCACCTGGGGTAACCACCTCCCCATCTTCCGGTTCGCGTTTTGTCCTCTCCGAAAACTTTAAGGGAATCATACACACGGACGCCTCTGCTTCCTGTGGCGCCTTGGGCGCCCCAACAAAATCCACACTCTCACCTGGCTGTACACTACAACCTCACATGATTCCCTTTCTTCTTGCTTAGGGATGCCGGTCTCGAGATTGGCCAGTTCCGCTACTATGACAAGAGCACGTGTGGCCTTGATTTTGACGGCTTGATTGACGACTTGAAGACCAAGCCCCAAGAAGGCGAGTTTGTTCTTCTCCATGCCTGTGCCCACAACCCGACGGGCGTGGATCCCACCCCAGATCAATGGAAGGAGATTGCCAGTGTCATGAAGAGTCGCAACCTGCGCGTCCTTTTTGACATGGCCTACCAGGTACGCCCATGCCTCGCTCACACACACACCACGTGTACAGATGCGTCGCTCCTTTTGGGCTCAATGGCGAAACAACAGATGTAACGCGACGTTGGCATAATTTTTCACGCTTTGCTGCCACCAGGGTTTTGCCAGCGGCAACAGCGATCAGGATGCGTGGGCACTTCGCCATTTTGTCTCCGAGGGATTCCAGCCGATCGTGACCCAGTCGTTTTCCAAGAACATGGGCCTTTACGGCGAGCGTGTGGGTCTGTTGTCCGTGGTGACCGGCTCCCCAGAAGAAGCCGCCGCCGTTGAGTCGCAGATTAAGATCATTATCCGGTCAGTCCCGTCTCACCCCCGCCACAAAGACCATGAAAATAACAGAGAAGCCCAAGATTAAATAGCATGAGCCAACCAGTCACGGCGTTGCAAAGGGTTTCCCATGCGTCTCACCTCACCTTGTTCATCATGAACCCGACTTCAGTCCCATGTACTCAAACCCGCCCGTTCATGGTGCGCGCATCGCCGCCTACGTTCTCAAGGATGAGCAGTTGTACAACGAGTGGTGCGTCTCCCGTAGCCCCCCATAACTTGTGATTAGAGCGCTGTCACAGCCCCCCACTCGCTCAAGTCCTGCCTTTGGCCCTTTTTTGTGTGGGGGGTTTTTTGTTTTTTGTTTTTTTGTTTGTTTTTTGTTTTTTGTTTTTTCTGACTCATCTGGATTTTGATCGTTAGGTTGTCAGAGGTTAAGAACATGGCTGATCGCATCAATACCATGCGCCAGGAGCTGGTGCGCCTTCTGACCGAGTATGGCTCGACTCTCAACTGGAACCACATCACCAATCAGATTGGCATGTTCTGCTACACGGGTCTTACGCCCGAGCAGGTGGACCGTATGCGCGATGAATTTCACGTGTACATGACCAAGGACGGCCGCATCTCTGTTGCCGGTGTCTCCTCCAACAACGTTGAGCACATTGCCCGCGCCATTCATGAGGTGACCAAGTAAAATGCGTTGCTTGCTTTTGCTGTCATTTCTGCTTGCGACAGGAGTGCAAAGAAGGTTGTGGCTTGTGAGCCGTTCCACATCAAGTGTTTCATTGGGCGAGAACCCTCGACCCTGTCTCAAATCAATACCTGACACTTGTTTCCACAAATCTGCACCAACATGGATAGGATCAGACACTTGTTTCCACAAATCTGCACCAACATGGACAGGATCAGACAATGATGCTTCCTCGCTCGACCCCCCTCTTTCCTTTTTTTTTTTTTTTTTTCTTTTTTTTTTTGTCCATGTCCTCCTTTTGTTTTTCTTTGTGGAAATATTCTGTTCGCAACTGTAGTTGTCACCATGTCTACTTGGCAACCAAATGCCAAGTCGTTGCGCTTCTCCCTCATTTCCATCGCCCCCACCAACGCACAACGACCTGTTCACTACCACCACGATTAGGGGTGACCTGAGACCCGCTCAAACTGCGCACCAACCTTGGATTCTGGATTGATTGATTCGTGGTATCTCGCTCTTGAGTGACCCATCCTGATACAAACAAGCGGAGTGCGCTTCCGTGCGCACTCGCTGGAGGAGGCAGGCACTGAGGCAAACGCCGCCACCATGGCCGCACCATTGACGGGCCCGCGCCCGCCAATCAAGCTGGTGCCCGCCAGTCGAGCCCATCAGATCGTCAAGCCCTCACAACACCTGCAGCTCTCACGCTTAAGCACACAAGAGTACCTCGACCAGTTAACGACGATGCATGTGCCTCGCGTGCTAGAGCTGCTGGATATCGGAGAATCTTCCGAGCACCGCACTACCCCGCTGGACCTGGACCGCCCGCTCTTTCAGCCCTTTCCCAGCGACATTCGCTTTCAAAACTATGACGCGGGTGACGTTTGCGAGGTTCCACTCACACTCACCAACATGGATCTGGTGGCCCGCCGCATCAAGCTCCTGCCTTCAGAGTCCCCATACTTTGATATCATCCCACCCAAAAATGCCAACGTCAAGGTGGCGCCGGGCGTCGCTATCGTGTACACTGTGCGTTTTCATCCCGACGCCGACCGTGACTTTGCTGATGAGATCGTCTGCCTCACCGAGCGAGAAAAGTTTGTCATCCCCGTTCATGCGATTGGCGGGCGTGGCATTCTGGACATTGTGGATAACGTGGATTTTGGGGAGTGCATGGTCAAGTCCACTGGCACCAAAGCTGTTCTTCTCCGCAACATTGGTCGCGCACCAGCACAAGTGTCCTTTGAGGCGACCGCCCCGTTTGCTGTTGAACCAAAGTATGTCTGTTGATATCTGCCTCCGCCACTCGACTCAGTGCTGATTGCGCCAGAAGCTTTATTGCTTGCCCTGCATTTCCTTTCTTTCTGATCTTGACACTGGGCAAAACCGGCCATGTTTTGAACCCGTTTTCTCGATTTATAAATCCGGTCTGCATTGATGGCAACATACTCACCTGGTTCCTGACACCCGTCTCCTTCGCACTCTTTCCGCGCCCTGCGGCATTTAGACAAGCGACTCTGGCTGCCGGTAGTGCCATGCAGCTCCAGCTGACATTTGCTCCCGCAGAAATTGGCGTGGCAGAGGGCTCGCTCCAGGTGTACTACGAAACGGGCGAGACCACAATCACGCAACTGCAGGGCACCAGTGGCAATGCCAATGTGCGGCTAGAACGCTCAACCCTGGCCTTTGACCGCACTTACCTGGGCACCATGTCCCAGCGCTCGGTCAAGCTTGTGAACCACAGTAGCCAGGTGGCCCACTTTGCTTTCAAGGCCTTCGGCTCCCATGACGAAGAGCAGGGCGTTCGCAGCTCTCTGCTCACAGCTTTGGAGCAGGACGAAGCGGAAGAAGTGGACGACTTTATGGCCATGTTGCAGTCCGATCCCACGGTGCAAGCCCACATGTCCGTGCTTGCCCGTAAGCATCGCCAGAACCGCGAAGATTTGGACCGTGATGGCTATTTGTATCAAAATGATATCTTCTCCATCGAGCCCCGTGAGGGAGATGTTTGGCCACATTCGGTACGTTCACCACGCAGTGCGTTGGTATTTGTACGGCCGCTTACGCTGGGTCTCGCCTCCCTGTCATGCCATTGTCTCACGATCTGCTGGCATCATGAGAGTAGGAAGTCGACGTACTCGTGACCTTCTCCCCCGATATTCCTGGCCCTCAAGAGGTGACCGTGTACTGTGATGTTACAGGTGCGTAGGCGACTGTGCTCTCGCGAATGAATACCGACATGTGCTTCCTGCAACTGTGCCTTTGACTTGCCATCATGTCGATCTTCCCATGCAACGGTGCACAGGCCGAGAAGCTCGTTTGCCGCTCATTTTGACCGGACATGGCCGTGGCCCGACGGTGCAATTTGATTTTGATACCCTGGACGTGGGTGCCATCTTCGTGTCATCCAACCACCACTACGAGATTGAGCTCTACAATACTGGGGCCATCCCAGCACGCTTCAATTTCGAGCCCCTGGCCTCTGTCTTTGCCGACGCTTTTCGCTTCACCCCAAACAGTGGTGAAGTAGCCCCTGGTGACAAATTGGTGATCGATGTACGTCTTCCATCGATGCCCTTGTCCATGAAATCCACTTCGAGATGAAACAGCCCGCCTCACCACCGCTGTGCGCTTGCTCGTCTAGGTATCACTGTGTGCACAAAAGTTGGGTCTCCTGGATGAGACATTTGAGTGCAGCATCGAGGGTCGTGAGGAGCCCTTGAGTATCACATTCAACGGACAGGTCGTCGGCCCAACGTTTTACACGGATGTCACCGAGCTGGACTTTGGCCCCATCGCCTTTGGCTTCCCCGCTTCCCGGGTCTTCACCCTTTTTAACACCAGTTCGATCGAGCTACACTATCGCCTTCGCTTGCCTGATGGCGTTCCTGCGCAAAAAGAAATGAGCCTCGATCCTGCCGAAGGTCAGTTCGCTTGACAGCAAATCTGCCCCTCTATCATCATGATCATCATCATGTCGACCATTCTCACCCTGTGGTCAACCTGCACGCACCCCCAGGCGCCATCAAACCCGGCTATGAAGCCCGCATTTCCGTGCACCTCACACCTCAGTGGTGTGAGCAGTACAACGTGGCCCTCATCTTTGACATTGTGGGAGTGGCGGATGGTGCCTATGAGCTGCCCATTCATGCTGACTGCGTTGTGCCCGACGTCACACTCAGCGAGCCCATGATTAAAATGGGCCGATGCTTTCTACGTCACACCTATGAGAGCGCCTTGAGCTTGCACAACCCCTCTGACTTTCCTGCCCACTACGTTCTTCTTCTACCTGATGCTGCTGAGACCGGCCTGGAGGTGTCTGCAGCAGTGGAGCGTGGCGTCATTACGCCCCGGGGCGTTACGGCCGTTCCGCTTGGTCTCACCGTCCAAAACCTGGGCCCATTTACAGCCACCATCCGCCTGGAAATCGTGGGAAGCATGGATGAGCCCTTGGCCGTGCAGGTCAACGGCCTCGGGCAGGGACCAGTGGTGGCCGTGCTACCCCATGCTCTCAGCTGGTCCAGCGTACCTGTGTTGACGGACAGCCCCAAACCACTGACGCTCAGTAACGAATCTCTCATCGAGGCCCCCTTCCGCTGTCTCTTGGATGAACACAGTTGTTTCACCATAGCGCCCATGGAAGGTTGTTTGGCCCCTGGAGAGCAGCGGGCCCTCACCGTGCACACGCGCCTTGATGACGTTGGCAACTTTGAGGATAAGCTGCGAATCGAAGTGCCTGAAAGCCCTGAGCTGGTGGTTGATCTGCGCGCGACAGGACGCGGAGCCACCGTTGTCTTTGATCAGGACGTGTCTGATCTCAACTTTGGCCACGTCTTTGTGAACCAGTTGGTGGAGCGTCGGCTGCGCGTGGCCAATCACGGTCGGCGCGTGCAGAAGATCTACTTTAGCTTAGATTCTCCACCACCCGGCGTGGACGGTCACTGCACGGTCATGCGTGGTGCTGTCTTTAAAAAGGTTAAGACTCCGGCGCGCCCAAATCCGCCCGATCCCTCGCGATCCATCTTTGGCGTCTTGCCTGAAACTCTGATCTTACAGCCCGGAGAAACACAGGATGTTGTGCTGAGTGGTCACTCCACGGATGTTTGCGACGTGGAGGAAGTACTTTTATGCCATGGGAGCTTTGACAACGAGGTTTCGCGCGTACTCCACTACCGTATGCAAGTGCGTGGCACCTTCCAGCGACCCTTGCTGCAGCCTGACGGTCGACTGGTCGAGTTCGACTGGACGCCCGGCACCGAGACACGTGTTCCACTTGTTCAATCCATCCATCTCGAGAACGTGGGTGTGCTGCCCGTTGAGGCGCGCCTGCGCACCACAGGAGCCTTTCAGCTCGTTTCTCGCCCAACGCTGCACGTGGAGCCCCGAGATGGGGCCACGGTGGACATTGCGTACGACCCCTTGCACCGCAGTGACCGTCAACCGCGAACTGATGAAGGACGACTCTTCATCGAGTACGTCCAGGAAGCACCGGCCGATACCATTCGTCTAGTGGCCGCCGTTCATTACCCAAACCTCGAGTTTTCCACGCGTGAAGTGGCGTTTGGTACCGTCATGAACGAGACCCAGCACGTCCAATGCGTAACGGCAACCAACGTCGGGTCATCGCCGCTTGATTATGTCTGGCAATTGGTGAGCAATGCTGGCACCCCGGGGGACGAGGCGACAGACGACGACGACGCGCAGAGCAGGGGTACTGAAGCCTTTGACATTGTGCCCAAGCGCGGGCGCGTCCTGCCTGGAGCCACGACTGACTTTGTCATTTCGTACTTTGCCCATGCGAATCGGGAGTCGCGAGTGGAGGCCATTTGTGCTGTGCACGATGGGCCTCGTTACCGGTTCCAGCTCTCGGGTGCTGCCGCCGCTGAGCGCTTCAAGCTGAGCACGGATCACATCACCTACTCAAGTCTGGACCCAGGAGCTGCTCAGAACGAGTCCGTTGTCACCATCACCAACTGCAACGATCTCCCGCTGCCCTTTTCAGTGCTCACCTCTTCTGAACGAGTACGTGTCACGCCAAGCCAGGGCGTGGTCGAGGCCAACGGCACTGCGAACCTCCAATTTGATCTCTTGGGCAAAGCACCGGATCGTTTCACCAATGACATCTTCTTGCAAGTGGGCCGCGACCTGCCCCGATGCATCAAGGTGTCTGCCGACACGGCCTTCCCAACCCTCTCGCTCCCTGATATCCCTCGGCGCTCTCCCACCGAAGCAAGCGATGTGGACGGTGCCATGGATGACTGGCAGCTGGCTCTGCGCCACGGCCCTGAAAACAGTGCTGTCTTCAACATGGAGCTTGATCGGGCCGTGCTCTGTCGCCGGCTGAGCCAAACAGAAGGGATGCGCCTGACGCGCGTCATGCTCCCACCCTACGTCGTAGACATGGGAAGCGTTCAGCGCAACCGGGCCATTTCGCGCACTTTTGTTATCCGTAACCCTTTCACCCGCCCCGTGAGCGTGCATCTGGGCAAGAAGAGCGTGACGGCACTAACCAGTGCCGGATTTGCGCTTGAGCCCGAGGTCATCACGGCGCTTCCCGAGGGCGAGGAGACGACGTTGACAGCCACTTTGCAAACCCATAGTTCTTACGGCCTTGAGTATGAGCTAGGACCTGTCGAAGTCACCGCCCTCTTTTACATTGACCAGGGGCCCCGGCTGCCCGTAGTGCTGCGTGCTAACGTGTGCTTGCCTGAGCTCCGCGCGGAACTTGCTCAGTTTGACTTTGGGGCCATCAACGTTGGAGAGGTACGTGCGTGGACGGGAAGAACCAACAGGGCAAGCCTGCATGAGAGCTCAATTGAGACGACTGCGTGCGCTTGCATCCCATGCATTCGTAGTAGGGGAAGGAAGGGTTGTGTGGTGCGAAAAGAAAGGCTTTCTAGGAATTGGTTAGGGCTCATGAGCAGATGCGATGGCATGGGCTGCTTTAATTTGATGCCGAGCTAACGCTTGACTTGCTCGTTGTTTGCGACCCGCAGTGCGCCATTATCGAGGTTCAGCTCACCAACACCGGCCAAGTCGAGGCCAACTATGCGCTTGTGAAGCCCGGGCTTCCATCCAACATGGTATCCTTGTCCAAGAAACAGCAAGACCGTGAGCAGCGTCGCCTGCACATGTCCAAGGCATTTGCTGTCGTGCATGATACCAACGGCTGCTTGGCGCCCAGCGAGACCACCAAGTTACAGGTCACTTTTACACCCAGCGAAGCCGGCACCTTCAAGTACGACGCCCGCATCCACGTCGCCGGCCAGGAAGAGGATATTCTCCTGCGCCTGCTGGGCCAAGGCGTGCGACCAGAAATTCAGTTTGCCAAAACAAGCGTCGAGCTCCCGCCTACACTTCCCCGTAGCGATCCCGTGATCTTTGATCTTCATGTGACAAACGACAATGACGAAGACGTGGAGATTTTCAACCTCGAGTACGATCAGCAACACCGGCTTGAGTCTGAAATATTTGAGCTCATGAGCGCCGAAACGGGACTGGAACAAATCTTGCTGCCGCCTCGGGCGGTAGGCGAGCCCTTGCCCGCCGCGCTGCGCGCCATTCTCCCGTCACACCGGCCATCACAGCCGCAACACACCGAAGCGACGGATGGGGTTGCTGATTCTAGTGAGACAGGTGCCGATGCAACGGGCAAGATTGAGCAGGACGAGCGCGAGGCCATTGACCCAGCCGTCGCGCTGCAAGAGGTCATGGACGCTTACCTTGGTGGCGAGCGCTACAAGCGAGAGCAACGCCGCGACCTGGGTGGACTCAATCTCGTCGTATTTGGTCCCACTGGCTGTGACGTGGAGCACTTGGTGACTCGCCTGGCGCAAGACTACCATGCGTTGCAGCTTGACTTGGACGAGCTAGTGCGCGCAGAACTTGCTCGCAACACCGACTTGGCACGAGAAATCCGTGAGTTTTTGGCCCAGAATGCGGTTGAACCGTCGCTTCCCGACACGGCCAAGGGCCGTCGCAGTTCCAACAAGGCACGCTCTTCCGAGTCGGGTCCCGGTGCCATCAACGCGGCAACGGGTGGATCAAGCAACAACCCTAGCAGCACGATTCCTGGACGCACCGCTTTAGCAACGCCGATCGTACCCGCAGACAGCATGTTGGCGAGCGCGGTTCCCTCAGAAGGAGCCACGAGTGAGGCGGCCGATGATGCACCCTCCACGAGTGCTGTGCCATTACCACTTGAGCTACTAACCACACTCATTCGACAACGCGTGAACCAGGACGACGCCATTGCGGGCGTTATCTTCAACGCAAGTCAGACCCTCTTTGCTACACCGCCTTGTGCGGTGGCCGCCTTTGTTGGTGCCGTCGGCCGTCGCGACAACGTTTTTGCATTGCATTGCCAGGCAGACGCAGCCGCCTGTGTGCGTCGCTTGGTCGCGCGCCAGGAGGAAGAACGTGCCAACGCAGCAGCGGCCCGCGCCGCCTTGGCAGAAGCCAGCCGCCCCAAGCCCCCGCCACCACTCGACGAGGACGAGTACGAGGCCCTCAGTCCTGCTGCGCAAGCAGAGTACGATACCAAGGTGTTAGAGTATCGCCGCTTTGTGACGCGAGCCGCAGAGGAAGCAGAGAAGCAACAGCAGGCTCTAGAGGATGAAAAGCACACCAAGCGTACCAAGAGTCGGCAGGGCCGAAAACAGCGCAAGGATGGCGCTGCAAACGGGGCCGCTGGAGCTGAGACCGAGTCGGACCTCGAGACATCGGCGTTTGAGAGCCAGGTATCACAGTCCTTGACGCGCTGTGAAGCCATGCGCCGAGTTTGCGACTTGTGGCACGTCGAGAAGAATGAGCTCTCCGCCACCTATCTCGAACAATTTGGCCCACCCGTAGTGGCAACAGGCAAGAGCCGGCGCAAGGGTTCGGCACCAGATGGGAGCTCCGTTAGTGCTGTTCCCAACACGGAGGAAGCGGAAGCTGAAGACCCGGCTGCACTCGGGCTCTGCACGATTGAGCTCGACCTGGAGTTGGGAGTCGAAGCGGCCGCTTCGACTGTATCGGCAGCGCCAGAGGTGCCTTCCGTGCGGGAGGTAGCTGTCCGTCTGGGCTTTGAGAAGGTTGATGACGACGCCAGCCTCAAAGCGCGCCGGTTTGCCCTTGCAGCTCTCCGCGACTTTGATTCGCTTGTCGAGCAGCCCTTGCCTGAATTCATGTTTGTAGATGCCGCCAAGCAGTATGCCGCTACTATGGCCAAACGTGAGGCGTCCCACCACATGGCTTCGGTGCCTGAAGACGAGGTCCTCAACAAAAAGAGACGTCCCATCTCGCGTGGCACCGCAGTCAGCACCGCCAGCAACAAGCGACCGAATTCCTCTAAAAAATTGAAAAAGTCCCCTTCCGGCCGCGCGCGCCATATTGAAGAGGAAGAGGAAAGTGGACCCACGGTCTTGGAACAATCCATTCAGCTCGACAAGACGCGGTGGATTATTCCGGCACATTCGGCCATTGCCATTCGGATGGCCTTTCATTCGGTGAGACTGGCACCTTTTTTTATTTTTTTATCTGAACCTGACTGATGCAACCTGTCTTGAGCTTTGCCTGCTTGCCTGTTGCGGTTGTACTTGTTTTGCTGCGCCTGGAGTGACCGCGTCGCCTCTCATCTCATGCTTGAATGGCCGGGGTCCGCGTGTTTCCTCAGGATGTTTGCGGCGTATTTGATCAGGCGCTCAACTTTGTCACGTGTGGCACCAATGATGTCACGACAGTTTACCTTCGTGGCACCACTGAGTTCCCCAGTTTTGATTCGTCCCCGAAGGCCATGTTTCGCAAGCTTCGGCGACCACAAGCGGACGAGCATCACCTCGCCAATCGGACTTTCTATGAAGCAGACAACACGATGGACTTTGGCCCATTGCTGATGGGTCGCTCGCGAGAGGACTTTAAGGGTCAACTGGATGCACCCAACGCCTTCCCCGTTTCCCTCCACAATCCGCACCCCTATCCGATTCAAGTCAATGCTGCCTTGGAAAAGGATGTCAACTTTGCCACCTTTGTGGTTGAACCAGCCACTCAAGCCATCGCGCCCGGAAACACAGGCACACTGCATGTCTTTGCCTTTCCAAAAGATGGCAAGGTGCACCTTGATTCCCTTATTCTTACGACAACTGACGCGCCCATGGCATGGTCTTGCAACATCCGGTGCGAGGGTGTGAGCCCTGCGCTCGAACTTGATGCCAAAGCGGTGTCATTCGAACGCATCCTTCTACGTCGAACCGACACGAAGATTCTAACGCTGCGCAACACCTGCAAGCTTCCGGTCTGCTGGCAGCTGGTTGGTCTAGAGCAGCTCTCGGCCGAGGCCAGTGCATCGGCCGCCAAAACAAGTGGTGAAACCCTGCTCCCGGGGAAGGCCACGGTTGAGGTCACCGCTCAAACCCTAGAGGGCACCGTTGATCCTCTGGGCGAAATGCAGTTGCCCATGCACTTCCGCTCGCTCAAGCCCATCACCATTACAAAGAAGGTTCGTTCCGATTCAACCCTCGTGCTTGATTGCAAGTTTGCCAGTATGCCTGCGAGCCAGTTGAGACATCAACTGAGCGTGGGATCCCACGCCTAAGCACCCTGTTACCCTAATGTTGTGTCGCTTGGATTCGCGCTCACATTCACTGTCGCGTAGATGGTTCAACTGCGTTATGGCGATCCCAGCAGTCTGGGTGTGATCAAGGCCGAATCCTTGGCCATCTCCGCCGAAGCGTATGACGTTGCCCTGGACGTAACCTTTCCTCGCGCGGATCGACCGGTGCTCGACTTTGAGACTATGCGCGTCTTCGACGAGAAGACGTTGCAGTGCACACTCAAGAACAAGGTATAGTGTCGCTGCCCTCTCGTGCCAAATCCACGCAATGCCAATCCCTGTGGTCGCTCATGTGTACCTTTTTTGACTGTCGGACCATGCTTGGCTGCCAACGCCTTGTTCAGGGGCGCTATGAAATTGCGTTTAAGCTTGAAATCGACCGATCCGTGCTCAAACAGTACCGACAATATCTGGATGAGGACTGTATTCTCATGACCCCTGCTTCAGCTTCCTTGCCCTCCTTGGACAAGACGGTTGTTGTCAAATTTGTGTTCCGCACGCGCAAAGAGGTCACGCTTGACAATGTGCCTTTGTTGCGCTGCAAGGTGATTGAGCCCCACATGAATGAGGTCATTGCATCCATTCCCATCAACGTGTCAGCACGCTCGGTGTTCAGTCGCTATGCACTGGCCCCTCAGCGTGGCATCAATTTTGGTGCTGTTTTGATGGGCAGCAAACCCGAGAGCCGTGAGATTGTGTTGGAGAACACGGGTGACTACGAATTCCGCTTCACCGTGTCCCGTCGGGCCACAGTGTTGCCCTCAACCTCGAACCGCACAGCACCGTTCACGCCGCGCAGCGGTGGCCGACGCTCAGCCGACCTAGCCAACTCAAACATATCATCCAACAAGCTTGTGACTGGCGCCTTCTCCGTGTATCCCGTGGCGGGCGTTGTGCCGGCTGGTCAGAGCACGCGCTTGCAGGTGGATGTTGACACAGCCATGCCAGGCCGCGATGTGCAGTCCTTGACGATTGATGTGGAGCAGCGTTCGCCCGATGATCACCCACACGGCCTGAGCTACGATCTCAGTGTTGAAGTCTGCAAGCCAGGTGTGGCCTTGGAGCCAGAGGCCATCTTTGCCGAACACTCGGTTTGCCGTCGCTTCGAGATGCAGGAGCAATCCCGCCCCGCCCTGACCTACTCCATCGAGGACGAAACCTTCTCCTTTGGCCCGCTTGTCATCGGCACGGTTTGTCAGGCACGCCTCAAGCTGCTGAACCCCACAAAGGTCGACTGCACCGTCAACTTGGTTTGTCGTGGCGAGAACAGCGTGCCCAACAAGAACAAGGTCGTTGCCGAACCCTTTTCGTGCAGTGTGCAGTCATTGCGCATTCGCAGCCATGAATGTCAATGGGTCCCCATCACCTTCAACCCCACGGCCATTCAGACTTACAGTGCCATGTTTGAAGCCACGGTGGAGGAAGGCGATTCCACTGCCAGTTCCTTGCGGTTCAAGCTTGAAGGTTCAGGCATCCTGCCGCGCGTGAGTCTCGTACAGCCCACAGCTCGCTCGGCCGAGGGGCTTCCCCTTCTTCGCTTCGACAAAACTCTTGTGGGTCAGGAGCGTACGCGCACGGTCATTGTTCGAAATGACGGCCCGATCGATGCCGCAGTCTCGCTACGAGCTTACTCGACGCAACCGCGAAAGCCCGCACGCGTGCGCACATCGGCCACCAGCACCCGCCCGGCCAGTTCCCGGGGTGGCCGGCGCGATGAGAAGCCCCTCAAACTCAAGGAGAAAGACAAAAGGAAGCCTGCAGGCCGTCCGCTGCGTTTGGAAGCGCCGCTGTCAGATGCAGGCGATGCGGCCGACACCAGCGAAGTATCTCCACGAATCGGGGCATTTGAGGTTCTACAAGGCACCGACTTTATTTTCATTGCGGCTGATGCAGAGGTCTCATTTGACGTTCGCTTCACGCCCGGTGCCCCTGAAGCCCATGGCGCACAACTGCAGCTCGTGGTTGAGAACAATGAGTTTGACACAGCTGTGATCGAGGTGGCTGGCATGGGTTTCCTTGCAGATTTGACGCTTGAGGATCTGGAGGAAGCAGATGGCGACTACTTGTTGCGCTATCCCCCGGTGGCAGTCGGCGAAACGATTGATCGTGCCTTTACCTTGGTCAATAATTCGGACCATGTCATTCGTTATGATGTGCGCGCGCGTGACAATGTGACCGTGAGCCCGCGCACGGGCCACATTTGGCCACAAACCACAGCCCAACTGCGCGCCATTCTTCAAAGCGATGATCCACTCTACTTGATGGCGGACAGCGATCGACTGCTTTGTGATTACACCCGTGTACGCTTAGCGGATGGTGCTCCCGTATGGCACAACGAGCGGTTTCACGAGCGCTACGAGCTGGCCGAGGACGAGCACGGTGGCATGGCCCGCATCAAGGTCAAGGAGCCGCTCTCAGAGCCCGCCTACGAGCGTTTGCAAGTGGATGACGAACGTATCACGGTCCAACTAGAGGGCGTTGTGGACTTTGCGCGAGTGAACCTGGATGCCAAATCGCTGCACTTTGCTGAAGTACCGGTGTTTGAGACGGTAACCAAGGAGCTGATGCTGCACAACCCAGGCGACGTTAATGCCACCTTTGAGTGGGTATTGGACAACGACGACCTGAATGCCGATGCATCGGTACTGCCGTTTGAGCTTGTACCAGCCAAGGGCGTTTTGCGAGGCCACGCATCGCAGCGAATCGAGGTGCGCTTCGCGCCGCGCCGCGCCGGCAGTTTTGATGGCTCCTTGGAATGCAAGGTGCAATGTCTACTCGACACCATCAAACTGCCTGTGCTTGACATTTCGGGCAAGGCCTTCATGCCCGTCTGTCACCTGGATTGGCCCGATTCGGACTATGTGACAAGTGGTCGGCGCCGGCACGACTTGCCTGGACCTAGCGGTATCAAGGGAGAGCTTGTGCCGGACCTCCGCGTGATGGAGTTTTCGGCTGTGGGGCTTGGCGTGTTGCAGCGTCATGCCTTCCCTCTTATCAATCCTGGCCGTAAGCCCATCGAGTTTGTGTGGCGGCCGCTGAACGCTGTTGGAACCCATACCGCCAAGGGTCTGCAAGTTGGGCCCTTCACCTGTCAGGTGCCCGAGGGTCGCTGCCTACCCAATGAGCCCGTGACCTTGTCCTTCACATACGCTCCCAGCAGTTTGGACATTGTTGAGACCTTCTGGGAGTTTACAGTGAAAGACTCTGACTTCCGGCGTACGTTTTTGCTTGTTGGTCACAGTGAAGAGCCTCGCCTGCACTTTGACGTGCAAACGCTTGACCTGGCGCCACTGCTCCTAAACAAGACGGTCACGCAGACAATCACACTGATCAATGAGGAAGCGCGCCCCTTCAATTTCGCGTTTGATGCGGCACAGCTGGCTGCCATCAACAAGGGCGCCACCGTGGCTGTCATGCCGACCACCGGTCGCGTTGACGCTCGTTCCCAGTTGCCCATTCGACTCAGCTTCACGCCCAAGCTGGAGCAGCCCTATGTCTTGAACGTGCTGTGCGATGTGCGACGCAAGCCCACCCCGCTGGCCATTCAAATCCGGGCTGAAGGCTACAGGCTGCACTCGCGCTTGGAGCTCGCTCCAATGGGCGCAGATAGCGCCACCGCCGCCGTGCCGTTAAGTTTTGATGAAACGGGCATGGTCCCTCTCGAGTTTGGCCAAGTACACGTGAACGAGGTGCAGCAGCGCAACTTCTTCTTGGTCAACACTGGCAAGTTTCCGCTCGAGTACAGCTGGGACGTGCTCCAACGTACTGCTCAAGCACCTGCGACGGGCGCGAACAAAGCTGCGCAGCGCTCAAAGATGATGGCCGGGCGCTCGGCCAGCAACGCGTCTGCTGGGCTTGGTAAGCGAATGAGTTCCAATGCCACAAAAGCTGCAAGTGCCACCTCTCGTGGTGGCATGTCACAGGTCTTGGAGGAGGCCATCTCCATCGAGCCGCGTACCGGAACCATCGGCAACAACGGCCGTGTGCCCATTACCGTGACCTTTCACCCACGTGCCGCGCTCGACTTGCGTGGCGCACTGGCACAGTGCACAGTGCACAACGGTCGTAAATACCGCTTGGAACTGGTGGGGGCAGGCAAGGAGCCCGACGTTGCGTTTGACACAGACGTGGTTCGCTTTGGCAAAACGTTTGTGCAGCGCGAGAACATGCCCGTGCGGGAGAAGGAAGTAATGCTTGTGAACCGCGATACCCACCCGGTGAGCGTGGCCTGTCTGTTTGAAGACACGACCGGTCCCATTTCGGTGCAGTTCACAGATGGTGTACTCAAGCCTGGCGAGCAACGCCCCGTGATGCTTCAGTTCCGCCCTACAAAACTGGGTGTGATCAAGGAAGAGATCTTGTTTCAGCTGAACTCGCTCACCAACATGCGTCTCAAGGTCACTGGCACGCCAGTGCCACTGCTGGTGCAATTGGAAAACCCCAAACATCGCCACCTCAACTTTGGCGTGGTCGAGCCGGGTACCAGCGTGGCTCGGCAGGCAACGTTGATCAACAAGAGCGCGTTGCCTGTCGAGGTAGATCTGGCTATGGATGAGCATGCCATGGCCGAGCATGGTCTGACAGTCGCTTTGCAAACTCCCGTTACTCTGCCACCACAAGGCTCGTTGCCCCTCAAGTTTACGTACAGTCCTCGCGCCCGTGAGCCGGCCTTCACCCAGGACGTATCAATCAAATATCTGGGTCAGCTTGAGCGCCTCCTGCAGCTAGCCGGGGCGTGTCAAGGAGTGGTGGTGCAGCTGGACCATGACCAGTTGGCCTTTTCCGGCGTGGTGGACAGTCGCAGCACACGGCGCTTGATCATGACCAACACCGGAGACATTGGCGCTCGCTTCCAATGGGATACTGCGAGCTTGGGCTCGTGGTTCACCATCTCCCCTGTAGAAGGCTACATCTCGCCGGGTTTGGAAGTGGCTTTTGCTGTCACGTTCCATCCAGTCGAGATAGGCACGGATGTTCGCTGCGAGGGCGTGCCGTGCCGCATCGAGGGCTGCGCCGAGCCCTTGTACTTGGACTTGGTGGGCACGGCGGCTGCAAAGACGGCCGATCGGGAGGTGCTGACATTCAACACGGAGGTGCGCCGTGCTGAGACGCGATCGTTCAAGGTGCACAACTCGACGGCCCAGCGCTGGGACTTGAACCCGGTGCTTGAGCACGAGTATTTCACGGGTCCCGAGTCCTTGACCGTGGAGCCGGGTGAGACCAAGCTCTACACTGTGACTTATTTACCGCTGACCATGACGTCCACGCGCGGTGCGCGGCGCGATGATGGTCGTTGGGCTGGCTTCCACAACGGCTCAGTCTTCCTTGCCTTGCCGAATGGCGATGCCAAGCTCGTGTTATTGACGGGTCAGGCACAGCCCCCGAGTCCGGTGGGCATTATCAATCGGGAGGTGCCATGCAAGATGAGCGTGTCGATTCCCTTAAAGGTGGTCAACTGGCTGCCCACGACGCAGCGCTTCCAGGTGAAGATCAACAAGACGCGTTATGATGTGAGCACGACACTGCAGGGCCACGACTATCTCGACGTCCCAGCCAAGGGCGAGACGGACTACATGCTGACCTTCCACGCTTACCGGGAGGGATTGACCCAGGCAGATGTGGCTTTCTTCAACGAGACGACTCAAGAGTACGTCACGTACGAGCTCATGCTCAAGGCAGTACCTTCAGGGCGATTGGATGTCATCAATCTGAGCACGGTGGTTCGTCAGCCGATTAGCCACACGCTCTCCATCGAGAATCCGCTACCTCAGCCCCTGAGTCTGACGGTTAATTCGCTTCTCGAGGGCAGCACCAAGCCTTGTTCGGAGTTGCACCATCCAGCTGTGTTTCGCGTGCCAGCCAAGGCCACGGCGGCCAAGTTTACCTTTGAGTACTTGCCACTGCTCACCCGCACGCGAGAAGCCAAGCTTGTGCTGCAGTGTCCGGAGCTTGGCATGTTTGTATACGATCTCAACCTCGAGGGCCTCCCTGCAGGACCAGCACCGACGAAACGGGTAACAGCACACCTTGGTGAGGCTCTGACCTTTCGGTATACATTTGTGAACTTGTGCTCGTCGCGCTGTGACTATACCGTGACGATCGATGGATCCAAGCACTTTCATGGGCCGCCCTCCCTGATGGCGCCAGCTGCGTCCAAGGCCGGTACGGAGGTCAGCATTGAGATGTCCTTTGAGCCCACACAGCTAGGCGACAGCAAAGCAACCATGACGCTGGCCTCGCCTGTGGGTGGCGTTTACACTTGCCCGCTGTTTGGCCAGTGCTTACCGCCCCGTCCCTCGGGCCCGCACGTGATCAAACCCGGGGGCAAGCTGGCACTGCCCTTTAAAAATGTGTTTACAAACACGGAAACGTTTTCCTACACCGTCGATCAGCCACAGTTTAACGTGCGCTCGTCGGACTTGTATAAGGCTGGTGAATCCAAGGAAATCCAGGTGCGCTTCGACGGTGATGGACAGGAGCGCGCCGGCAAGCTCATTGTCACGTGTGCCTCGGGTGCGCACTCGGGTATTGAATGGGTTTTTTATCTCAAGGGACATGCGTCGTAAGCTGAGCCCCTATCCTGGTCAGCCATGACTCTTCCGCTCTTACGGCTCGCACACGAATGTGTTATGTTTCATCTGATCTTGTGCGTGCGGACATCTGTGAACGTTTCATCTCTGTGCTTTCGTGTGCGTGTGTGATGTGGTGCCGATGCTTTGGCGCAACCTGTGTACCTCCAATTGATCTAGACACTTATTTCCATTTCATTTGAGTATCCATTGAGCTCAGACGTAGCTCCATTGTCGTAGCATATTGCTAGTGTTCGGAGGGATGGAATGCCTTCCAGTGGTGTCTCGGCCCAAATCGGCGAGAATGGTATCAATTGAAAAGAAAAGAAGGGGCGTGAGTGGTGAGCAGATAGTATGAATACTTGACTGTTCACCTGTCTGATCGTGTTTTAACCATTCCGTCCCTGATGCACATGTGGTGCACGCACTGTGTCTCACTGGACCGACGGGTATTCGCCTTCTGGCTCCCTGTGCCGCGTCACAACGACACTTTGCAACCGCAAACAAAATCAGGAAAAAACAGGAAAAACAGCGGAAAATACAGAAAAAATCACTATATCACGCGGACGGTCACGCAACATTGCGCAAGCGCTAGTCGATTTGGAGTTGTTGTTGATGTTACATGTAACACATTTTGTTTTGCAGCCCACGATCGCCAGGGGCGTTTCACCGTCAAGATGGCAGCCCCAAGTGTGACGATTGGTGTGCTTGCGTTGCAGGGTGCGTTTCGGGAGCATCTACGTGCTCTATCAGAGTTTGAGGGTGTGTCTGCGCTGCCAGTTCGCACCAAGGTCAGTCAGTCAGTCCGCTCTGGCCAGGAAGCAAGCAAGGGTGACACGTGCGCGGGTGATGCTACTTCTCCTGCCAGCTTGGTGCCACGAAAGCGTGCATGGAACCGAGATCCCAGCATCGCCTGCCACCCTCAAAAGACAAGGAGAAGGAAGAAAGGGAGACCTTGTCCATGTCTCGTTTCTGGCCTGCACTGCCCACACTCAGCCGGTTGACACGTGCGATCAGGAGCAATTGGCCACTGTCGACGCGCTAGTGATTCCTGGTGGTGAAAGCACTACCATGGGGCTGGTGGCGGAGCGGTCGGGCCTGCTCGAAGAACTCCGGGCCATGACGCGTGCGCGCCAGAAGCCCGTATTTGTACGTTTGACTCCACTTTGGCTGTGGAATGGAGAGGCGGACTTGCTAGTTGACGTTGCACGAGGACTCATGGCTGTGGGGTTGTGGGCTGGTGTAATGCAGGCCACCTGTGCTGGGCTCATCATGCTGGCACAACGAGCCCAGCACGAGAAAACGGGTGGGCAACCGCTACTGGGTGGGCTGGATGTGGTAGTGGATCGCAACTTTTTTGGCACACAGCTGCAGGTTGGAACCCTTCCGAATATCGCTGGGTGATGGCGAAGTAACCTGTCATCACCAAGCCTATTCTGCATCAAACCGGTTACCTCGAATAGAGCTTTGAAGCAACGATGGACGTGCGCCTGCCTGGCGATGAAGCCGCATCAACCTGCCACGCGGTCTTTATCCGGGCTCCGGCCATCCTTGAGGTGGGAATACGTGTGTGTGCGTGTGTGTGTGCAGGGATGTACTTTGGCAGACGTCCACGTTCAGGTGTTTTTTTCAATGACACTTTAGGTACTGGCTGATGAGGTGGAGGTCCTGGCAACCCTACCCGTGGACAAGTCGCCGCGGCCACTCGAGAAGCCCTGTATCGTGGCTGCTCGCCAAGGCCCTTTTCTTGTTACAGCCTTTCATGTATGTGCAATTGTGGTGTTGCAGCTTTCAATAAAAATTATCAATCCGTTGGGTCGGGTGTGCACAACGCGCAAGGTCCTTTGCTCACTGGTCTCGAAACATTCGGGAAAGCGTAGCCGGAGCTTACCGCGGATCGACGCTGGCATGCATATTTCGTGGATCAAGTTCGAGCCACTAAAGGCTAATCTTATCTTCTTCTTATGCCAAATCAAGAATTGCTGTTGCCAGCAAATTCAAACTGCTCGTCAACTACATGTACATGTACATGTAGAATAAGCCTTTCTTTTTTCTTGCTCACCCAAAGATGACGCATTCTTTCTCACACACACGAATCCAACCAAAGATATAAAGTCTGACAAAACCTCATGAGAAAAGCAGCATTGTTGTATCGACCAGACGTAGTAGACGAAAAGGCCGGCCACCAACGCATGACGAGGGGTCGGGGACACGTCAGGGGCGGCGCAATAGCCGTGGCGTTGTGCTCTCAACGGTAGGATTATTCCACATGAGCTTGTTGGCATCTTTCTTTGGTTGGGTTTGGGGGCTTGAGCCTTCCGAGTGTCTCTTTCTTGCAAGAAAAGCGTCGACGGAGTGTCACGAGGGGCCTCGCAATCTCGCATTTGTCCTCTGAAGTCAACAGCATGTGCGTGAAACGACCCCCTCATCTTGCGGCTGCCCGGCTGCCTCTAGACAAATCGGCATGCAAGCAGCATGAATTTGACTTCAACTGTCGAGCATCGACTTCCAAGACAAGGATCCACCGTCTGTGCTCTGGCTCTAACATGGCCCCTCATGCTTGGATACCTGTACCTGCAGATGCATGCCAGCGCATCATTGAACAGAATATTTTTGATCTGCAGAGGGCCTTTCACGTCACCGTGCGCCTTGATGGGGGCAAAATTCTGGTCGCCGGCCAACGACAGAAGGAAGTTGATGCAATGCGGCGCTTCTGTGAAGACCTTTGCCGGCAGGCCAACATCGAAAGCGGCTACTACTTCGTGGCCAAGGCGCACGCTCTCAAATGGCTGGAAGGCGACTCTGACAGCAGCAGCGACGAGGAGTTTGATGTTGATGCAATGGCCGCTCAAATTGAAGGCCGCTCAGCCAAGCCGGCAGACGTTGGCAGTCAGAACTCCGCTTCTGGGCATGGAGCTTTCTCACAGGCAGCAGGTCGACGACCATCTCCATCGGCAGGATTCATCGCCAGACACGAGCAGGACTCAGATTCCAGGCGCGGGGCCTTCACCTTCCCACAGGCACAAGGTCATCGACAATCCATGCCGGCAAGAATCATGCTCAGACAAGAGCAGGCCCCCGCCTCCACGTTTAACGCCGTCCCACAAATGGCAGATCCTTGGCGGCCTAGTCAGACACGCGCAGAAACCGCAACTCGGTCATCGAATGATTCAGAGCCATACCCTGTGGGTGATACGGCCACGAGCTTATATCGTGTGTCAGGACAGCGCTGGGACCGGGCCCCAACACACAACAGGATATCGACCCCCCCATCTGTCGTTGCAGGTGCGAGAAGGCTTCCTCCTGAAGAACACAGGCTTCCTCCTGAAGAACACACCAAGACTGTTTTCGTCACTAGCACCGCACCGCAAAGGCAACAAGCTCAGTACAGCGTCGTAGAGGAGGAAGAATGGAACATGGGCAACCTGGCTGCCGCTCTCACAGCTCAAGAACCTCAACCTGCAGTGCCCAGAGACTCTGACGCTACACCAGCGACCTCGATCTTTATTGATTTTTCCAACATGAGCATTGGCGCTCAGGAAGTGAAGTGCCGAGGGAGAGAGCTTGAGAGTGACATCCGCCTGCTTTTTGACGTTGAGAAGCTAGTCGATAGGCTGGAAAAGACATACAACAATTTCAACGTGCGCTTTGTGGCTGGCCGACGCAACCTGAATGAGTATTACGAAGCGTTTGCGCGTTGCAATTATCAAGTGGCCGTCGCCGATTATGATGATGGTCGCCGAGAGCTTTTCGTGGACACTGCTATTACCAACGAGATCCAAGGCGTTTTGCTCACGTCCCCATGCCCGGGTTACATTGTGATCTTGACGGGGGATGGGAATGACAATTCTGGGCGAAGATCATTCTATGACTGCATTACATCGGCCTTGGAACGCGGCTGGGTTGTGCACCACTTCTGCTGGCGCCACTCCCGAAATCATCGCTACAACAAGCTGCAACGGAGTTACGGTGCCTTATATCGACTCGAATTTTTAGATGATTTCTATGACGCCTTTGTCCACGAGAAGTCTGACTTCTAGGCTTAATTTACATCGGATGTTAATTAACACAAAACACGGCATGGCATTGTTGGGCGTGGCGTTGCCCTAGTGAACCACCCCGCTGCTAAAGGATGGCGAACAGTCTAAGAAAGACCCGGTCTCAGCCGATCGAGGTGTTGAATCATGTCTTCCGAAAGCACAATCAAACCTGTGACCCTTATTTTTGCTGCTTGCCTTTTTTCGCGGTCATGACTTCTGCAAACAAGGGGTGGGAAGAGACATCAACGAAGGGGGTCAGCCTGGGGCAAATTCAGAATGCGCCTGCACCACAGCATACGCGTGGCCATTCCACAAGGCAGCATTGGCGGGCATGCAATAACTACCCTTGCCATTGCTGCGCTTTTTGGTCCGTTTGTTCTCGGGAGCATCTGGCCCAGCTTGCTGCTGAATCAGTTGGCGGCTCTTGTGAGCAGCAGCTCGTCTCGACTCCCGCCCCCCCATTCCCATGCACTGCTCCAGGTGGGGGGCAAATTTGGCGGGCTGGCGCATCATGCCACAGTTGGGGCACCGAAAACTTGGTGCTTGCTGCTTGTTGAGCTGAGTCCCGTCATCGGGGCGCGCAAAAAGGGCCCTCAAGGTGAGCTGTTAGCAAAGGCCAGCGCGCAAGACAGAAGGCAGACTGTGCTGCCAAGCGGCCGCCTCTCACACGGCTTTAAAACCGACCTTGGTGCCATATATGTCATAGCCTGGGGTAGCCACGAGGCCGTGATGGCTATGGGGAGGGGCACTGGGCAAATGAGCTGCGAGCAGCAGTGTTCGGTTGTCGGCGGCTCATTGGCATTGGTGCAGGCCTACCGGTGGTCTGAGTTATCCGCGGGGCAGAGGCACAGAAGGCGGAGTTTGACGTTGCGATGGACTTGAAAAGCAATGGCCTGTACCTCCTGATCAACCAGCTCGAGGATGAGATCCGCGGCCACCTCGGCTTGCGTGAGGACACCTCGAGCCTTTTGAGCGCGCAGCGCCTCCACAAATGACTCGAGAGCCGCCACTTGCTCGCGCAGCCGTTGTTCATCTGGCAGAGTCGCTGCCGCCATCACGAAAGGTCTCGAGAGGCTCCAAGAAGTGGCTGCAAAGGGCCAGGCGAAAGACCTTTGCACGGAGGGCTCTTCGGTGGTGCTCGCCAACTTTGCCAGACTCTTTGCACGGCTTTTCTGACTTAGGTAAGCGTGGCCATAGCGCTTTCTTCTCTACACGCCGTACCCTTACAGCCACCCAAGCCCACTCGTCCGCAGCCGCTGACAAACCACGAGCTCGACCCGAGACAGACACCCCAAACTGCCACGAAAAAGGAAGAAAAAAAAAAAAAAAAAAGAACAACACTTGATCCCTCTCTCTCTCTCTCTCTCTCTGTGTCTCTGTCTCTCTGTCTCACCAATTCATCTCTCTGTCTCTGTCTCTCTGTACCTGTCAAGGACCTTTGAAGCTAGTGCAGAAGAAATTTTAAAACATGTAGATTTCAGTACGGATGACTAGCCAGTTAATGTCGTAAATTTGGGGGTTACAGTTGATCACTAAATTGTCTGACAACTCGTCAGATCAACCGATTCGTCATTGCGACTCATCGAGCTGACACTCGTGTCGTCGTCGACCCCCGGGGTCTCATTCCTCCCTGCCCTCAGCTGGGTCTCAAGCTGTCTCTGGTCGCTGGTCTTTTCCTGGAGTAGTAGCATTTGCTGGTGCCCGACGGAGGGCTCGTGTTGGGACAGACTGATTACGGTGGTCTTTGCTGTGCGGGCCTGGGACCTCGCAAGGATGGACGCCAATGTGGTGCCGCGCGATGCGCCGGATCGTGCGTACACGTTTGCATGCCTGACAGGATAGGTGAGGGCAGCAGGATGCTCACAGCCTCTTCTCGCCTCATGACTCGGGCTTGATTTAGATTGCCCGGGCACAGAAAGCGACCAGGCTGGTCGATCAGCCGCCTGTGAGGGTGAGTGCTCGAGACGCAAAGTGTCTACCTCAATCAAAGAGTGATGTAGAGTCTGCGGCCAATGGTTTTCTGATGCGTTTGCTGCCGTGGTTCACACAGGTTGTCCAAACCAGGCCATTTGTGCAGCCAGCAAGCCACAAGGCCCAGACCCAGGTGATCATGGCTGCCTTTTGAATCCCACTACGCCTCCGCCCCTGGATCAATTGCATCGCGCCTCCTGCACTGACCCGTTCAAGGAAACGCTGTGTTTCCAACGTACCTGCCCCGTCCGCTAGACTTGCCACTCATTCAGGAGCGGCTTGCAAGCGTCAAGCACAAAATTCTGGTCCTTTCTGGCAAAGGCGGCGTGGGCAAGTCGACCGTCACTGCCAATCTGGCTTATGGTCTGGCGCAGGATGAAGACCGTTCGGTTCGTCTGGTTGGAGCTCTGCACCCGTGTCTGTCGCTCCACCCCAGTGATATGGCGCAGCTTCGATGTGCACGTTGGCTTCTTAATTCCTACACACCTGCAGTGCATCTTTTTTTTTTGGGAGGGGAGGACGTGTCCAACGTGGCCGTTATTTTTTTTTCTGTGCAAGTGCACACGGGATGCTTTTGCTCCTTTCTGATCACCATTGGACTGGGCTTTTGTGCTCACTAGGTGGCAGTAATGGACGTGGACATTTGCGGACCTTCACTGCCCAAGGTCTTTGGGATGGAGGGCGAGCAAATTTTCAAGTCGGGCTCGGGTTGGTCTCCCATCTTTGTGGAGGATAATCTCGCCCTGATGAGTGTTGGCTTTCTGCTCCCTTCCCCGACTGCGGCTGTTATCTGGCGAGGCGACAAGAAAAATGGTACTGACAACCGGCCTTTGTTTATTTTTTTTCCCCCTGGAAGGGCAGTATTGGGCTTGCCTGCTTGTATGGATTGCGCCCTGACCTTTGGCTGCGCGTGACTGTGCATTAATTTTTTGCGTCCAGGATTGATCAAGCAGTTTCTTCGAGATGTGGACTGGGGCGAGCAAGACTTTATGTTGATCGATACTCCCCCTGGCACTTCTGATGAGCACATTTCACTTGTGCAGTATCTGCGCGGCTGTCAGCCCGACGGATGCGTCATTGTCACTACCCCACAGGTACCACTTGCTCTTTGACGCTCGCCCTGACGCCCTTATGGCAGGGACAGGGGCATGGGTGTATTTGTTGGCGGGTGGTCGGTGCTACGTCCACTCCTGTCATTCGAATCTTGGCCCGAACCTGTCTTTTCGGTTGGTCATGAGTAGGAGGTGGCATTGGCCGATGTTCGCCGCGAAATTTCTTTTTGTCGCAAGGTCAGTTGCTGGACTGTACCATCATTACGTTCATTGGAGGGCCTAGCACTTTCACTTTGGAGCTTACGTTGGTGTTATGGGGCTTATGTTTGGGTTAGGTCGGCCTACCCATCATTGGCGTGGTTGAGAATATGAGCGGGTTTGTATGCCCTTCCTGCAAGGTGCGCCCTTGAGTTTTGCCTCCTTGAAGTCGTTGCTGGCTAAACAACAAAAAAATTATGGAGAACTCGGCATGCCTTGCAATATCTTATGAGCAAATCTTGTTGCAGAATGAGTCGGAAATTTTTCCGGCCACGACAGGGGGTGCAGCAGCCATGGCCGAGGAGATGGACGTGCCTTTTCTGGGTCGTTTACCTTTGGACCCGCGAATCGGTATGTGTTGCGGCTTTATCCTTCACCATCGCACGCTACAGCGTGTTTGCTCATGCTTCCCTCATGCATTCCGCACACCCGCGCAGCCATGTGCTGTGATCAAGGTAAATCCATGTTTGAGTCCTTTCCTGATTCGCCTGCCACCCAGGCATATCAACGTCTCGTCTCAGGTAGGCAAAACGCGTGTTTTCTTGTTTGTTTTTGTGTCGTCGTCGTCGTCGTGTGTGTGCGTGGGCGGCGGCGTCGCGAGGTGTTAGTGAGTACGTGGGAGGGTGTGTGTGTAAATGCCGTATCGTTGGTCTCTATTTTTTGGCGCGGCAGTTCTGCACTCACGCTTTATGTAACTGCGATAGCGGTGTTGAACTTTAGTAGCACTGTCAATGGTGGCACTGAAAACCAAGTCGAGTCAGCCTCGACATAGACCCTCTGATCCAATCGACAAATCGACCATTTCCCTTCTTCGTGCCTCATCCTTTCATCTGGGCTGTGAACTGGCTGCTGCAACAATCATTGTGCGACCACGCGCCATTTCCTCCCTTTCTGAACCAAGAAGACTCAAACCACTGCCAGTGGCGAAGCTCTTGCCATCGCCGTCCATCCACTTGTATCAAGCGTTGTCCTCCCCATCACTCTCTTTGAGTTTACTTTCCATGTCTTTTTTTTTTCTCTGACTTTTCCGGATGAGCGATTTCGATGTGTGTGTGTGTGTGTGTGTGTGTGTTTTGCTTCCAGCTTGGCTTGGCTTGAAGAGGAACAAAAACAGGCTTTTCGCTGCTGCTGCGGCTTGGTCGCTGCCAGCGGCGCGGGGACACGGAGGGGGCTGTCACACTGGCATAAGGCAGTGAAGAAGCTGGGTGTGGGGCCGAGCGTGTCTGTATCTTGTGCCTGACAATCGCCTCCAGGATGGCCTTGCTCCCCGTTATGCACGTGGCGCTGCTGGTGGCGCTTGCGGCTAGCATCATCATCACCGTGGCGGCATCGAACGACAGTCTGCGGGCATGCTTTCCTTCAAGTTGTCTCTTTGACGACTTGGATTCTGTGACTTGCACGGCGCGCGCGCTGACAGAGTTTTACAACACCAGTTCCATGCCTGCTGACTGCGATACTTCCCAACGCGTCCCGCTCACAGTCGACTGCAACTCGGAAGAAGTGGTGCCCATTCACTTGCCGGCGCTGAATGACATGTTGATCCGGCTCACCGTGCGGGATTCCCTGCGCTGCTGTAGCTTTCTCAGCGGCAACAGTTTTCCCAACCTCGTCGAGTTTACCCTGCAATGTGTCCCCTACGTCAGCATGGGCACAGACATGGACTTGCCTGCGTTGACAAATCTAGGCATCTTTCAGCAGCACACATCCAGCGACTGGGTGCGCTTGCTGTTGGCCGAGTCCCTCGTCGCGCGTCTGCAGCGGCTCGTGGTCACAGACAGTAGCATGGTGGCCCTGACGCACCTCAAGGACATGACCAATCTGACGGCCTTGCTTCTTCAAAACGTGACGCTCGCATCACACTTTTGGGACGACTTGAACAGTCTGAGTCAGCTACAGGTCTGTGCTCCCGTCTTCTTTGGCACCAAGGCAAGCAAGCACGCGATGATCACCCTCTCACCATTCCTTTTCTTGCTTGCACCGCTTTTTTTTTTTTTTTTTTTTTTTTTTTTTTTTTTTTTTTTTTTCCTTCTGTTTGCCTTCTTGCGTGAAATCCAATAGCAACTTCAACTGTCAGATTCGGGCCTGCGTTTTGTGCCTGCCAACGCGCTTGAGATGACAAAACAGCTGGAAATTGTGGCTTTGCACGGCAATGGCCTCACAACCATCCCGCCCTCCATTAGCCGACACAAGCCTCAACTGCGTAACTTGGATCTCAGCAACAACAACATCATGTTTCTACCCGACAATCTGTTGGAGGGCTCGACCGGCCTCTTCTCCCTCTTTCTCAAGCACAACCAACTTCAGACGCTACCCGCTGGACTCTTGCGAGGGCAGAGGCAAATGACCACACTTGATCTCGGCAACAACCACCTCACTCGTTTGGACGATGAGCTGTTAAAGGATTGCTCTGGTTTACAAAAGCTGCGTCTTGAAAGCAATGAGCTCGAGAGCCTGCCGGCGGGTCTGCTCAGCACCTGCACAAACCTGGATGGTATTGAGATGAGTTACAACAGTCTCACAGTCTTGCCTCCAGCCGTGTTAAACCAGCAGCTTAAACTCGTGGAATTTGCGGCCAGCAACAACTTTCTGACCGCCGTGCATGCAGACCTCTTCGCACACAACACTCGGCTCGCAAGCCTCGACCTTTCCCACAACAAACTAGTCACGCTGCCTCCCGAGCTTTTGCAGCCCATGTCGAACCTCTTGGAGTGCCTGCTCAACTCCAACATGATCACCTCAATCCCCGTGGACTTTTTTGCCGGTCTCAGTCAGCTTTATAAGATCTATCTCTACCACAATGACCTGACAACCCTGCCCAAGGACATTTTCAAGCCCTTACCAGCACTGCGCCTTCTATCTTTGGCCCGCAACAAGCTGGCGAGTTTACCCACAGGACTCTTTAGCTCACAAACGCGGCTGGAGCTTCTGCAATTGTCGTACAATAAGCTCACTTCCATCACGGCCGCGGACATGCCTCCTGGCAACCTGACGTACTTTTCGCTGGACTACAACCAGCTCGAGTTCGTTTCCCCTGGTTTACTCAAGAACCAGCCCAATGTCAACCACGTGCTGTTCAGCGCCAATCAACTCCAGGTGTTGCCGGACGATTTGGTCGACGGCCTTTCACACCTGGTGACCATTGACTTGTCTGATAACCAGCTGTCGTCTCTGCCCACGAGCCTGGCGACGGCAGCTACCTCTTTGCAGTACATGTATCTTGACAACAACGCGTTGGTGGAAGTGCCAACACAGCTGCTCACGGCCAAGCCCAGGCTCATAGAGCTTTCTCTCTCCAAAGCTGCGTCGTTCCAGACTCCAATGGACCTCGAGTTTGCGTCGAATCTTACCAAATTGCGTTTGGTTGATTTTCCCCTTTCCAGCCAAAGCCGAAAGCAAATGTTTCAACTGGCTAGCGTGCAGGAGATGGAGTTTGGTAGCAGCATGACTTGCACGCCCAGTCAACGAACGCTGTCCTTGAACATTGACCTGCCATCCTTGCAGCGGCTGTCGCTGCAGTCAACGAGCTGTGAGCACATCTCCATCACGTGGCAGAGCGATAATTCACAGGCACTGCGGGTCTCGAACCACGGCAACTTGTTGACATTGGAGCTGGCCATCCCGTTTTTGAACACGCTGGACGTGTCCAATAATCCGCAGCTGCGCAACCAGACGGAGATGGCGGCTGCGGTGTACGACTTTTCCAACACCAGTCTGGGCTACTCGCCCCTACTTTGTGGATTAATGGGGTCGAACAAACTGCTAGCTCGCAGCCTGGGCAACGCGGCGTCCTTTACCACCCACATGGATCAGCTGCTGCCGCGCTGCTTTGCGCAGGTGGCCGTGCTCGACTTGTCGGAGAACAGCTTTCTACAAAACCTGACGTTGCTGCGCAGCACGCTGGGCAACCTTTTCGTCTCGGGAATGCGCATTTCGAATGGGACGCCACCATACATTGTGAACGCAGATGGGAGTTGGACCTACTTGCTGTCGTTGCCCCAAGTCCCAGCTCTTGTCTTGGACGGCGTGCCCATCACCTGCGTGCTTGAGTCGCAGTTTGAGCGTGCCCATAACCTCGGTGATGTGTGGGCCAACGTGTTGCTGAATTACTATTCGTGTGCATGTGTGAGCGGCTTTCGCCAAGCAGGTGCGCTCTGCAAGCCTAAACTGCGCTTTTTCGATCACCCCTGGGCCATTGCTCTGGTGGTGATGTTGGGGGCGGTTGCGTTGCTTCCCTGCGTTATCTATGGGCATCGTCGCATGAAGATGCGCCAGCGCTATGTGGAGCAGGATCTGGAGCTGCGCCAAATGCTGTTGGATGAGGCGCAGGAGGAACTTCACGTGCTCAAGGCAGCGTGGGAAATTGAGAGCAGTGAGCTGCAGTTGTTGCGACGCATTGACGGAAGCTCGCCCGGCGCCTTTGGCGCGGTTTGGGCAGCACAGTGGGATACCATCCAAGTGTGTGTGAAAGTGCTGAAGACGGATTTGATGATGTGCGACGAGTCGACGCTGGAGGAGTTTCAGCGCGAGGTGGAATTCCTGCAGCGCACGCGCCACCCACAATTGGTGCGCTTCTTTGGGGCGGGGCATTTTCCGGAGCAGCACAACGCTCCGTTTTTGGTTTTGGAGCTCATGCCCAACGGCAGCCTTCGCAGCTATCTGGATGGCAACCCAGAGTTGGATTTCATGGCCAAGCAACGTATCATGTGCGATGTTGCCGTGGCGATGAGCTATCTTCATCACACGCTGGGGGTCTTGCATCGTGACTTGAAGGCTGGCAATGGTAAGCTTTGACCAACGTGCACATCTGTCTGTCCCTGTGTTGTGTTGTTGAGTGTCCCCCCCCCGCCTGTTGCGACCCCGTGTACGCGCGGGCCGTCTTCCTAATCGCACACCGCGTATCGCTTACCGCGCGGCGCCACCTGCGCTTTTTCTATAGTTTTGATTACAGATGCTGGGCGGGCGCGCGTGACAGATTTTGGGAGCATCAGCCAGACGTTTAAAAACTCGGCATCGGGTGCAGCACCCAACCGCACGCCACCGACCCAACCGCAAGCACTCGTGTCGTCATCGCAGTCACCGGACGTGTCGCAGCACAGTCAATTGCAGCGATCAGGTAGCAAGCGGCACGGTGCCAGCCAGGGTCGCGAGTCGTTATACCAGTCTGTGGGTGGCAACAGCACGCACGAGGCCATGGCCTTGACCGCTGGAGTGGGCACCCCGCAGTACATGAGCCCAGAGGTTTTGCGCGGGGAGCAGTACGGGTTTGCGGCGGACTGCTGGAGTTATGGTGTCTTGTTATGGGAGATTTACACGCAGGCGCGTCCAGACTTGTGGGAGCAACATGCCCGACAGCCGCGTGGACCGCTCCTCAGCAGCCTGTTGAAGCTTCTTGACGAGGGATTGAGGCTGCCGACAGATGCGACATGGCCGTCCTGGCTAAGCACCATGGTGGAGGCATGCTTGGAGCAGCGGCCTGAATCGCGACCGTCTTTTATCACTTTGGAGGCCCAATTGCGAGCTCGAGTGGAAGAGGGCCAGCGTATGGCCTTGGCCAATGAGCATGAGGAAGATGATTCTTCGGTTTAACCTGTCCACATCAGGTCAAAGAGGGAACGCAACGCAACATCCAAAACCAGAATCCGATCATTTCGATAATTGATTTACACGTTATGGTTTTCTCATCTTTCAAGTCTTTTGTGTTTATTTATTTTCTTGGTCATCTTTTGTTATTTTTTTCTTTTTTTTCTTTTTGGGAAAGGTTGAGGTCATATTAACCTCGTGGCCTTGAACGACAGTTGGGTGTGTCAGGACACCTGGCTCGGTGTAGGCCAAAACTGCTTTAACGGGTGGTGGCCTGGTTGCAGAGTCTTGGGCCATGGCGGGCAAGGGGGCTGGTACGCTGAGCGCAGCGGCTCGGCGGTTGGTGGAGGCATGGCCACTCAATCCGGCTCGCAAGGGCCGAGACTTGGGCGAGCAGCTACGCCAGCATCTGCCGCAGCGCATTGCCAAGCTGGAGCGCGGATCCTCGGCACAGGTCAGAGCGGGTGCAGCGACAGAAGAGCAAAGAAAAAAAAAGAAAAGGACAAGGGAGCCGGATGACGCGGTCCGCTTCGCTTCATTTGGTCGAGTGTGGTTGTCTTTTTGTGCCTTCTCATTCATGCGGGTGCATGGCGTTATCTTGCATCACAATCAGGTGTGGAAGGCCAAAGAGGAGCTGCGGGCTTGGCAGCAGCTGAGCGACGGAGCATTTAAGAAAGCGGTACGCCAAGCAGGCAGTGCTTTGGACGTCGGGCGTAGAAACGCACTGCCACCAAGCTTACCATTGTTGGCACCTACGATGTTTGACAGTATCAACGGAGCGAGGATGCAACGTTTTCCGGCAAGACGGGCACGTCATGGGGGTTTGGGCGGCTGTCAACCGGTACGTCCAGTGTCATGGATGTGCCAGATTTGGTTGAGATGAGAGAGACAACTTGCAAATGGCTGCAAACGGCTCAAGCTCTCTGTGGTGTGGGCCCGCGGGATGGCGTTTGCAGCGGCACAAGAGGAATACAATCGTGACGGCTTTTTTGCGCGCATGCTCAAGAAGAAGAAGCCCGCTGAGCGGAGCGACTCCTCCACGGCACCGACTGATGACACCAAAGCATAGACACACCGCATCGAGTATACACGTGCTTGACGAGGCAAGTGCCGGGCACCGGCACTTGTTGTTATGAATAGAGAATGGAACGTGATTGTATCAAGGCCTCTGCCCGGCTTGCCGGATGGGGCGTGCTTGGATGTTAATTTGACCAGTGTCCCATGGGCGGACCATGACTGCATTTGACGATGAAGAAGAAGGTGATATGATGGTCAAGTGGGAAGGAAGGTTGAATTCGCTCAGACCGGGCTGGAATATGGTATGGTTTCGATTGCGCAGCAATCACCACACGCCCAGGACGCGGGCATAAGGCGGAAGGAAAGGAACTACACACATCTGAACAGCAGGGACAAGCAAGGGGGCTGACAAGCCAACTCATGCAGGAACAAACAACAACAACAACAACAACAACGCACAGGTATAAAAATAAATGCGGCCAGGGGTACGTGTGACATCGTCTAGTTGGCGCTCTCGGCTTGGAGGCGGCGGAATTCGGCGACACGCTTGGCTTCATGGGCAGCGTGCCCTTCACGTTCAATCTTCAGCAGCTCTTCCTCGCCATAGACCATCATAAAGCCGATAATGGGCATGGCGACGCTCAGTGCCTTGAGAGGCTGCGTCAGCTTGCGATACCAGGTGGCTACGCGGGGTACACAAGAATGGCGACGGGATGCGGTGAGTTGAGAATGGTTGCACGAACAAGCAGGTGATGCGAGCTATGGGCAAGGTGACATACAGGTGCGGTTGAGGACGGCCATGCCAGCCAAACCCACGGCGAGGCCGATGGCACCACCCTCGACGGCCTTGACACTGGCCCGGGTCATGGCGCCGTCCAGCTCGTCATTGGAAGCCATACGCATCTTGATGGTAAGTTGTGTGAGTCCTTGAGACGATCAGGCTGATCTTCCGTGGTCCAACCGAGTTGAAATGGATATCCCGTCTGCTCCGAATTAAGAGGTTACGGGGGCAAGTTGTAAATTGCCGTCTCGCCCAGCTCGACTGTGGCAGACACCGCCTCCACACACACACACACAACACACACACACACACACACACACACACTCACACACACACACACACACACACACACACACACACACACACACACACACACACACACACACACACACACACACACACACACACACTCACACACACACACACACACTTCAAGGCCAGCGGTCATGAGGCAAGCTGTGTTGCGTTCGGGCCAGGAGCAAGAGAGAGAGAGAGTGGTGTGTGTGTGTGTGTGTGTGTGCGTTGTTGTCTGACATCCAAACCCCCTGGCAACCACTGGAAACGACGACAATGTCAGACGTTTTATACTCTCTCTCTCTCTTGCGTTCTCTTACGGATGGACGGAGAATTGCGTGATGTCCAAAGCGGTTGTGACAAACTGCAACATCAAGGCAATCGCATCATGCTTGTGCCTCGTGCGGCTCAGGACGCTGACAATCGCTACCACATGTCAGATATAGCGATTTCGATATCAAATGTCAGATGTCATCACACAGGCGACAAAAAAGTTCGCAACCCCTACTGAGTGTGACAGAAAGTGTTCAGAGTGTCGGCAGTAGGCTTGACCAGCAAGTTTGTGGGTCGGGCAACCTGGCCATGGGTCTGTGATGCCTCGTCTTTCTTCTGCGCGGCAGCTGGATGACTGGCACACTCGTCCATCTAGCCCATCCCGCCCTTGAGACTGACTTCCCTTCGGATCTTGGTCGTTCAGGTGGTTCAGGCGGAAAGGGCAGGGAAGAGTGGCTCGTCTATCTGTTTTCCGAGTGCCACACTCGAAGGCGTGACCCAATTCGGTGCGTGCACGCTCCAAAGACTTCACATGGAGTGGCACCAGTTGCAGCTCTCGTTTGCGATCCTCTTGAGCCTGTCTCATGCCTGCTGGTGGAAACCCTGCAGACCACGAGGCAAGCGGGGAAAGGTTCAGTGGTCTCAGGAAGTGGTGTGGTGACGGCAGCCTTCAGAAGCCGCATCACCCATGCTCATCCTCGTGAGATGGGAATGTTGACCATCACCTTTTGATCTTGCAACAGATCAAGGACACACACACCTTTTTCAAGCCCAGTCTTGCCCCTCCGTCTTCATGTCTTCATGTGCACGCCTCCTAAGCCAAAAATCCCACAGAGAGAGAGAGAGAGAGAGAGAGAGAGAGAGAGAGAGAGAGAGAGAGAGAGAGAGAGAGAGAGAGAGAGAGGAGAGAGAGAGAGAGAGAGAGAGAGAGAGAGAGAGAGAAAAAATTTCCCAGATGATGACGTCGCCATCTTTTTGTTTCCTTTGGGAATTTTGTGGTGGCGCTGTGTGTGGGTCTGACGGCCGATCGCTGGAGAGGCGCCGGCTGTGCTGATCATCTCTCGTTGATCGCGGCATCAGTATCCGCTTGAACAAGGGGTCCTGCACCTGCCAGATTTGCTGCCACGATCCAGCCGTGCCGATCCCGCACCGCTCGCAGCCACTGAATGTGCCATCCGTCGCGAGTGTCCCCTCCCCATCCACGCCTCCATCTTTCTTATGTTGCGTGTGTTGCGTGTGTTGCGTGTTTGAGTGTTGCTCGAAAGGACATTCTCATACCGTCCGTCATCCCTGTGCGTGTTCTCCCCGTCCTCCCGTCCCTCCGTCTGTCTGTCTGTCTGTCTGTCGCTGTCGTGCCAGCTGATGGTACGGGACGTTGTGCGCTCGACCCAAGACCTCTTGACCGCTGCCCCTGCCTCGAGAGTTCTGTCTGCTTCATTGGTCGGGATTTTTCAGTCCTGACATTTCCATCATTCGAAAAGCTCTTCACCCGCAGCGCCCATCTCGTTCAGATCGAGCCACGGTTGTTTGCTCGATCGATGCAGCATTGGTCCCGTCGGTCCACACGACAATTGCTCGATCACGCGGTGGCACGGCACCGACCTTGCCGACATCAAACCAGCATCGACCACGGCTCTTTTTGATTTTGATACAGGGAAAGCGTCGTCTTCCCCTCCACCCCGTCGAGTGTCGGAGTCGGCTACAGATCTTCCACGCGACCTTCCACGCGACCGACCACGCGACCTGCCACGCGGCTCTCGTCGTCATGGCCAAATTGGGTGCACCCGACCCTTTGCCTCAGCCCGGTGGCTCCATCTCCATAACCGATGTCCCCTCGGTTCCTCTCTCCGCCAGCCCACGCAAGCGTCTCAGCTACCCCGATACCTCCTCCGACATATCGACCATAAAGGCGGAAATCGATCAGCTGCGCGCCGAGAATCGTGAACTTCGCCTGCGTCTCGATGACTTTGTGCGCTTTGGCAAGGACGGCCTGCCGGCTTCCAGCGAGGCCATGTTGCTCCATCAAATCGCGCGCATGGCACGACAGCCCCCCTTTGCCCGCACGAGTCGACGCAAGGACATCCTGCTCGAGATTCATTTCCCGCCCGGCATCATCTTTTCCGACAACATTGATCGACCCATTGCTCACATTCCCGATGACTTTCGGGCGCGCACAAAATCTTTCGGCTTTGCGTCCCTGCACATGGACCCGAGCGAGCTTCTCCTCCATTGGTTTGTCATGTTCAGCGAGCTCGACCTCTTTGCCCGCCTCAACATTCAACCAGCCTGCCTCCGCGAGTTTTTCCGTCAAGTGCACAACGCCTATCGCGATAATGTCTATCACAACTTCCAAGTACGCCCTTTGTCACCCTGTCCCTTTGGTGGAGAGCGCCATCCTTGTTTCGTCCTCACAAATGACCCTGTCCTGCTGCCTGGTGCATGACCTTAGCATGCCATGGACGTGGCTCAGTTTGCTTACGCACTCTATATGCACAGTGATGTTCTATCCAAACACTTTACACACGTCGACATTTTCTGCTGTCTTGTCCTTGGCCTTGGCCACGACATTGGTACGTCTCCTGTCACCTCTGTTTCGCTGGGTTTAGCGTTGCCTTGTCCCCCAAGTGCACCATTGGTATTTTCATGCTCTTCCTCTGGCACGGGCATTCATGCGGGGCCTCTATCCTTGCTCTCCACTAGATCATCCCGGCGTGAATAACGCCTTTTTGATCAAGACCCGGGACCCAGTGGCCATCCTGTACAACGATACGAGCGTGCTGGAGAATGCACACGCCGCAACCCTGTTTGCCATGATGCGCTCGCAGCCGACGGCTGACCTACTTGCCTCTTTTGACGACGCAAACTATACCAATACTCGCAGCCTCATCCTTCGCGGCATCCTGGCCACCGACATGGCCCGTCACGGAACATTGGTGAAGAAGATTGCTGCCGCACCCTCTCTTTCGACCCAGGACTCAGCGCCCGATGCCGTCAAGGCTGTTGTTCTGGAGGCCATTGCCAAGTGCGGCGATATATGCCACCTGGTAGGATCGGCTCTGAGCCTCTGCATTCTCCGATTCAGCCCATAGCCTACTCAAAGGGCCTTGCTTGACGCCCCCTTGCCACCTCACGTTTTTCTTCGGCCCCTGCACACGCCTGTCAACTCGTGTGCTGCCCAGGTGCGACCGTGGCCCGTGGCCAAAGCATGGGAGGATCTTGTCATGATAGAATTTTTCCAACAAGGAGACCAGGAAAAGGCTTTGGGCTTCAAGCCTGACGGCCTCTTTGATCGGGAAACCTGTAAAGTACCCAACTCGCAATGTTGGTTCTACGAGAATATCGGCAAGCCCCTGTTCTCGGCTTTAGCCCATCACGTTCCTGATGTCGGAAACAAGCTCATGAGCGTCATGTTGGAGGAGAACCTGCCGCATTGGAAGGCTCTTTGTTGACCACATCAACTATTTGACCATGCCAAACTGCCCACTCGAAGGGTCAGCTTGGCTGGGACAACCGTTTCCTTTTTTTGAGGCAACCCTTGCCCACTGATTGTTTATCTGTTGTTCATGTCACCCCTCCTCTTGTTCTCAGCCTTAGTCCTTGAGTTGGCTGATTGTTCTGAATGCCCATAGCTGTGTGTTCATGTCTTGTCCTCAGCCTGAAGCTCAGCATTCTGAGTTTTGCTGGTGATGCATACCGCGCCGCTTTGACGCGCTCTTGACTGGCTCGGATGCGCAATCAACTCGTGATCCACCCATATCTTTGCGCATGTACTCATTTCAATCAGTCAATTGTCCGGATCCACCCTCAGTGTATGCTCTCTCGGAGAGACTTTGAAGATGAAGGGCGCAAATTTGGAGAATTCCCGAGCTGCAAAAGTTTGCTCAGGGCGCGCCTCAAAACCCCCTTTGCTAGACAGCAGCAGGGGGCCTCAGCGCTATCCATGAAGGGCTGGAATGGGAAACGTCAAGGTCATGTCGTCGTGCAATAACATAAAGGTAAGGCAGAACCCACCCGCCACACCTGTGGGCGTAAATGGACACCAATGAAAATGAGGCGAGATGGGCTGCTGGAAGCGGGTGTGCAACACAGGCGGTCGCGCTGACTGAGGACGACAGGTGCACCACTCCACTTACTCATCAGCAGATGAGGTGTCGCACTCATTTGCAGGGCACCTTGAATAAAGGCTTGCACCTTTGCGGTATCCACGGTTGCGCGCTCAAAGGCCGCGGGCTGAGAGGCCGTGGGTGCATCGCTCGCGCCGTCATCTACAGCAGGGCATGCCACACCGCGGTCGTAAGCGAGCGAAGGAAAAAAAAAAAAAAAAAACCGAGAGAAAGAAAGAAAGAAAGAAGTGTGGGAGAAGAATCAAGGAGGCGTAGCTGAACGACTGACCTTGATCTTTGCGGGCAGGGTTGGTTAGGCCGTGGTAGGTGGTGCTGATGCTGACCATCTCACTCGCGCTCTGCAGCAGCAGTTCCCCCTGGCCATTGGCTTGAATCGTGATCTCGTTGCTGAATGTTTTCATCCTCTCAAGGATGAGACGCAAACGGCGTGGATCTGGCAGAAAAATGTGCACTTGGCTAGGCGGCACGTTGGGCACGGGGTAGTCGGCAATGGCGGTGCTCGGAAACACCTGGATGGGCACATCCTGTTGGATCTGGCGGACTGCACCCGTGGTGGTCAGCTATGGACCCAAATCGTCCAGGTTCGAGCAGAAGCGAAAGGAAAGGTGGCTGTGGTGAGTTCGCACCAGCAAGCTCATGACCAGGAAGACAGCCTCACACCGTGATGATTGGCCATTGCTGCTGATAAATTTCACACTTACGACACCAATGCGGACGGCCAAGTAGGCCTCACTGCCTTGCTTGCGAAGGCGCATGTGCACGGAGCGTGCGTCCTTAGTGGAGCTGGTGCGATGCGCATGGCACATTGACCGGGAAGAAGGACAAAGTCATGAATAAGAGCAAAAGACTGCTGGTCCAGCAGGTGAGCGGCAATTTGGGCGAGGAGATCCCACTTCGCGGGGACGAGGTGCTTCAGACCTGAAGGCCTTGATGAGAAGCTCGAGGCGGAGTTCTACCATAATCTGCTTCTCTGGATGTTTGCTATCGAGCACAAACTCACTGAAGAGCTCATTGCGGGGCATCTCGGCCCACAGGTTGGCATCACGCCGAAAGTCGAGCTGCGTTGGCTGAAGGACAACCTTGTCCTCGCAAAACCGCACGCCCACCATTCGTGCCTTGGACGCCCGCTGAAAACAGGTGAGAGTCTCTGCGACGAAGTGCACCAGAGTGAGATCATCGCCTCAGCTGACACAGCCATAGCCATGGGCTCGAGGGCTCACGTTCAAAGACCATGACGGCGCCATAATTGGCAAAGGTCGAGCGAAACCGCATCGTGACCACTAAGTCGAGATGATAAGGCGGCACGAGCCAGCAGCGGTGCGCAGCAACACCAGGCTCGTGCTGTGCCAGTGGCTCAGTTGCTCCGCCGCTCACAGTGTTGTGATGCGGCTCGAGGGGGTCACCTGACCGATTGTCGACAAAGTCGCTTCTTTCCCGCGCAAACGATAAAAAAAAAAAATAGAGCAACGGTTAAACTTGTCACAACATGTTTTCTCAGTTGCACACACACACACACACACACACAGAAAAAAAAGCCGTTTCAAACCGTTTTTTTGGGTCTGTTTGTAACGGTTGCGTGCTCATCTGCTGCTTGAAGCGGCTGTTCGTCAAGCAGTTGCTCACGGTCTTGCGTCGCGCATCATTTATTTTTTTCCTCTAGCGCCGACCAACGTTCCCGATTTGTTGTCGTGGTCGTGGTCGCGGCAGCGTGCATTTGTTCTGGACTTGGCTTGCAAATTTGCTTTGAAACTCCGACACCAGGCATCATGTCGGCCATGGAGCAAGAAGGCGAGCAACAATTTGCGGCGGAAGAAGAGGAGGCCGGAGGGCCCCTGCCCATCACCGCTCTGGAGGTACCATTGGCGGAGGGTCGCACGGCAGCTGGTCTCCTTTGTCAAACCTCAATCTGATGGCTATTACGCTGATGGTCGTGCTTGCCGTCCGTTCTCGCTCTTTTTTCACGTCTTAGCAATGTGGTATCAGTGCCAACGATTGCCGCAAGGTTCTTGAGGCCGGCTTTCACACCGTCGAGTCGATCGCCTACGCACCGAAAAAGCAGCTGCTGGCGGTCAAGGGCATTTCCGAAGCCAAGGTGCGTCCGACGATCTTTTCGCTCCGATTCACCGCCAAGTCGAGCTGTGAGGTAGCTTTTGCACGGAGAGCTACCATCCCTCATGTGCCACCATGTCTTTGCTCTTTTTTTTTTTTTTTTTTTTTTTTCTTTTTTTCTGTGAGCAGGCAGAGAAAATTTTGACCGAGGCATCCAAGCTGATTCCGATGGGCTTTACCACGGCATCAGAGTATCACCAGCGGCGCCAGGAGATTATCAGTTTGTCCACCGGTTCCAAAGAGCTCGATCAGCTCCTGCAAGGTATGACCATTCACTCCGCTCCACACCTTATTTTTATTTTTTTATTTTTATTTTTTTATTTTTTTTTTATTTTCCTTTTCTGGGGAGTCACAGTACACTTGATTCATTGACTCTTCATGCGTACCCCCGGGCGTACAGGTGGTGTTGAAACGGGCTCTGTGACCGAACTTTTTGGTGAATTCCGCACCGGCAAGACGCAGCTCTGCCACACGCTGGCCGTGACATGCCAGCTCCCCATTGAGCAAGGCGGTGGTGAGGGCAAATGCCTCTACATTGACACCGAAGGCACCTTTCGCCCCGATCGTCTACTGGCCGTGGCTGCACGCTATGGACTCAACGGCGAGGATGTTCTCGACAATGTGGCATACGCCAAGGCCTACAACTCGGATCATCAGATGCAGTTGCTGCAGCTAGCAGCCGGCATGATGGCCGAGTCTCGGTACGCGCTCTTGATTGTAGACAGCGCTACCAATCTTTTCCGTACCGACTATAGCGGACGTGGGGAGCTGGCAGCCCGACAAATGGCCCTCGCTCAGTTTTTGCGCATGCTAGCCCGGCTCTCTGACGAGGTAAGCAGTCTCCTTTATCATTGTCTCGCCTGCTGGCCCTATGCCCTTGCGTCTGCATTTCCATGAATCTTTGTTCAATTCTCTTCCCTCACCCCGCTCGTGGTTCCGATCATGTCCACTCCGTAGTTTGGCGTGGCTGTGGTCATCACGAATCAGGTGGTGGCACAAGTGGATGGTGCTGCCATGTTCTCAGCTGACCCCAAGAAGCCCATTGGCGGCCACATTATGGCCCATGCGTCAACCACACGGTGCGTTGTCGTTGCCGTTTCAACACTTTGGTTTTTTTTTCCCGTGGCAAGGTGAACTAACTGGGCAATTTTGACAGGCTTTATCTGCGCAAGGGTCGCGGAGAAACACGCATCTGCAAGATTTACGACTCGCCCAACTTGCCCGAAGCAGAGGCGGTGTTTGCCATCAATGCCGACGGCGTGGGTGACTCAAAGGACTAGGACGGCATGGCTGTAGAATGTTCGTCGCATCGTGTGAGAGTGTGCAGCCCAAGTCTGGCAAAACTTTTCCCCTCTTTTTTTATTTGTTTGTTTATTTCAACTTTCCTTCTTGCGTGTGTGATGTAGTTTCATGATTGTACTGTCTGGTCACGGCCGAGCCCTGATGAATTGTTGTGCTTTGTTTTTCGAGGTGGAAAGGGCTTTGACCGATCAGCGCTTGACGTATCTGCCTCCCTTCCCTCTCCCACATGTTTTTTTTTCTCTGGCTTGCCCTCATCCTCTTTGCACAGCAGCAAACTCGGGGGGGCAAGTCAGCAAAGTTTTGAATCCGATTTTGAATTCGAATCCCTCTTTGCATGGCCTGGCGGGAAATCGGAGGCGCGTGAGCACCTTTGGGGGCTTGTCGGGGTACCTGCGTGATTTCTCCTCCATCATTGCGGATTCGAAATGTGATCCGCCTTCTTCTCGTACATCTCGTCGGCTTGGGCCACAAAGTGCGTATTGATGGCATCCAGCTAATATGCAGTCCAAGGAAATACGAAAGGAGGAGAGGGGTGAGCTGCCATGGGCCAGCCAAGGCAGCAAGAGGAAAGAGGGAAGCCTGGCGCGCTTACGTATTCCTGCATTGCGTGGGTGTCATCTTCAGACAGGCCTTCAGTGCCCTTGAGTTGCGAGACAGCGTGCGAGCGCAAGTGTCGCATTTTGTTCTGGTCACGAGAGATGGGGCACCCCCTTTTTTTGTGAGGCAAAGGACGGAATCGGCTCAAAGCAGCAACGAAGCCTTCAAAAAAAACAAAACGAAACATACCTTTGTCTGTTCCAACATCTCCTTGGCACGCTTGACCACTTGCTCGCGGTATTCCTTGGTCAACCTGCGTGCAGCAGTCAACATGACGGGCCAGTGCGCCCCACCAACAGCCGTGGCATCCCAGACGAGCCCCGTCGTGCACTACATAGCATTCAAGCATTTAACGCGATCACGCATACTTGGGCATCTGGATGCGAATCACAAGGTCGTCCCGCACGGGGTTGGGAGCAATGTTGGCATCAACAACAGCCTCATATGCCGCCTTGGCCGTCTATGGGACCGGGGAAGACAGCATGAGAGAGAGGTGGCCATGAGCAGTCGTGAGTTGCAGCCTTCCGAGTGGGCGGTGAGTGCGCGCATCTGCAGAACACAAGAGTGTGGAACGCAGAAGAGGGGCTGCACACGCACATCACTGTCAAACGTGGTCACAATAAGGGTGTCCGTGTTCTTGACTGACACCATGCCAGCCTGACTCAAAGCAAAGGTGGCATCACCCATCTTCACCTTGACGCCATCCAGCAAATCTGCCCGCAGACGTCATGGTTGGGGTTGTTGGTCAGCCTTGGAATTGACAAAGGACCAGGCGATGGATGTAGCACGAAACCAAGAAGGCAATGAGGGGCGTACTTGGTGTCACTTCACCAGTGCGAATCGTGGCATATTCATTGAGAAGGTGCTGCAGTTGGCCGTGATACTTGTCCTGCAGCGCATCAAGCGGCACCGGGCAGCGTTCCGTCTCAAATGTGGGTCGGCCCAGTTTGGCGCCCCCGCCACCCTTGCCACTGCTCTTTTTGCCTTTTTTGCCTGCAATAACGTTTCACGGCCATGTGAGTCTGGGCTCGGGCCTGCCTTTGCGTCAAATGACCCCACACGGCAAACCACAGGACACCAGGACGTGCGCGAGGCGAAGACAAGGCTTGTGACGCATGAGGATGGGAGACTGATCATACGTACCACCCTTGAAACGAAGTTGTTGCTGTGAAGTAGCAGCCATCGTAGCCAGAACCTGGCCTCGTGGGGCGATCAAGCCCCAAGCGGCGTCACTGCCGGTGCTGGGCGAGCTCGTCCATGCGCTCAGCATTCGTCCTGCGGCCATGGGGCGCGGCAAGTTAAGCCGCAGGCTCAGCTGACGAACTGCGTGTCGTGCGCTTACTGCCATATTGTTGAGTCTATACAGTGCAAACAGGAGCAAGAATTCGTTAACCAACGCCCAACTCTGGAACAGAGCAGGGGCCATGCGCCCCCATCCCTTGCCTCTTCGGCCTGCACAGCGCATGACATGCCCGTACCAAGTCAAGTCGTCCGTCGGAAGAACTGCAAAACACGAAAGCAGTGACCGCGTTGAAAACTTTTCACGCAAAGTGAGGTTACTGTAAGGCTTTGTTTTTTTTCTTCTTCTGCTGTTCATCTCTCTCTCTGTCTCTGTCTGTCGCTCTCAGTGCAGAACGGTTGATGGTTCTGACGGGAGATTGGGACAGAGAGGCCCCAGGGCGACCTGGGTGGCCAGTGGTGCTGGTCAATTTCAGGCTTGTCGATTGCATTTGGACCTGGGAATGCTAAATGGTGCTGATCCACCCATACCATAGCGTGTAGGACTGATGATAACGGGCTGCCTGGCGCAGGGCCTTCACTGGTCGTGTGACGGCAGCATCAACAAGGGTCCGTGCGCGGGGGCTGGGATCTGAAAAGGCCATCATAAGCAGGGCAGGCGACACAGTCAGCCCACACCTTGCAGCATGGCGAATTCAAGTCCTTGGGCCACCCCGCTGCTCTGGCTGGCCTCGGTGGCTACCGGCTCTGCACTAACGGTTGTGCTCTCGTCAGTCCTGGCCAAGCAGCTCGGCCGTACGGCCCACCGGCTTCGCCAGCTTGACATTCGCGGCATTGAACGTAGGTCCTCAACACCGCATGCAGCAGACCGCTGGCGCACTCAGAAACAAAAAAAAGTCATCAGAGTGGCTCCTTTGGGTGTCACGCCTCTCATATTTTCCCACCTCTGCTCCATCCATGACCCCCATCTTGTGTGTCTGGCGTAGAGCTCAATCCTTCGGCGCTGGCCGAGTTGGCCGCAAGTACTGGCCATAGTGCCAAATCTGCTCGAGAGGCCCTTCTCCTCCTCGCCACCAAGCCAGGCCAGATAGAGTCGATGGTTGAGCGCGTGCTCTGGCTCGCCCGCCAACTTGCGACCAATCCCCTCGAGCGTGCGTACGGCGATGGCGATGACGAAGAGGAACTTGAGCCACGTGAATTAGAGCTCCTGCAGACGATAATGGTATTGGAGGACCTCAGTCAACACGTGCCCGCCGCGAAGATCATGTCTGACTTGGGTCTGATTCAACTGCTGGCCCAACACCTTCCATCCTGGGCCACCAAGTTACAGCAGCACGGGTTGATTCTACTCTCGGTGCTAGCCGCCATTGCCGAGGATGGCGCCACGCAACTTGCTCAAAACGAAGCTTTTCGCAAATGGCTTGTTGCAGATTTGTCTGCTCGCCTTGGAGGCAGACTCATCGTATTTTGGCAGACGGTGCTCTATCATCTCATCGTCACGAACCACGCCGAGCTCACCTCGCGCCAAGACCTCGTGCTTCTGCGCGAGCTCTCACTCGTATTCTACGGTCAAACGGAGCTGCACCGCCAAGTATTGCATGCTCTTTTACGCGTGGCCACCAACGGTGATCCGGCTGATAACACGGCCCGCCTCGATTCCATCACCACGCCCCACCACCTGCGCATGCTGGTTGGTTCCTTACGCAGCGATGACCACGATCAGGCCTATTGGGCCCTTGGCATCATTTACGAGATGACGTCGCACGGTATGCGTTCCGTGCTTGCCCATATTGAACCCTCATGCCTTGCCGTCGAGTGTTTGCTGACACACTCATTTGGGTAATGTTGTGCGCTCGCAGGCGTGGCTATTGCCCAATTACAACGAATGCCTAAGATCATGCAGGCCTTCCTAAACGTGCTCAATGCCTTTGAGGCCACCATTCAACGGGTCATCCTGCGGGCCATTGGAAGTTTGGCGCTGCGCAACTCTGACTTCAAGTGGCGCATCCTTCACTCGGGTCTCGGCTTTCGCATTTGCGAGTGCTTGACCTCGGGTGATGAGGATTTGGCCAACTGGGCTGTCGTGGTTGCTCATGATCTGACCATGCTGGGCAAGGACGCTTGCCATCAGCTCGTGGAACATGGCCGTATGTCTATACCCTCTGCTCACATCGCGCACGGACCGCCTGCAATATCAACCCCTACTCATTGCTTTGAACCACGCTGTCATGGTATTGCTTTCCCCTTCCCCTCAATCATTGCAAAGGTTTGATCCGCGCCTTGGAAGAGCTCATTCAAAAGCAAAACGAACAGACGAGCCGCCTGGCCGCGGAGACGTTGGGGTTCGTCTGCTCTCACCGCTCACTGCACCGCGATTTGATTCGGCAAGGCATCATCAAGGTAAGGAATTTGCTGATTACTTTTTTGCTGATCCGCATCCTCGGCGGGGCGGGACGGGTATGGTCGTTGAGCCGCTTTCTTCATTTGCCCTTGCCTATTCGCTTCACGTGCGAACCTGGCACCCGCGGTGGTTTGTAGCCCATCCATCGGCTCTTGGAGAGCGAAGACGAAGAACAGGTGTTTTGGGCCACGGCCATGATGCTGTCGCTTGTGAGCACACTGGCTTGTAAAAGTGCGCTGGCTGATAACAGCACAGCAGACCTTTTGATGCCCTGGGCCACGAAGGACGAGGTGCACCAAATCACTGTCATGGCTGTGCGTGTCCTGACTTCCTTGGCCTTTCATCAACGCAACATTGCGTTTCGTGTGGCCCATGAATTGTGCCCAGTGGTTCTGCAGCGCCTCATCAGCCAGCCCGAGCCAGACGCAGACGATATCCATCTCCTGGCCGTCCTCTGTCGTTCTGGCGGGTCACGCAGGCAGGTCTTTCACACACCACACGCCATGGACCACCTGCTGGCTGCCATCTGGCGCTACTGTACCTTTGACCCTGAGCGCTTGGTGGCTGAACCCGAGTCCGCCACGGCTGGAGGCTCTTTGCTTCGCGTACTCCACCAACTAGCAGCCGATGCACGGTTAGCCCCGTCGCTCAAGGCCCATGGCCTTTATCAACTGCTTGGTGTCTTGCTTTGTGGGTTAGTGCGGCGTAATTTGGTGCTGCGGCGCGACCTACGCGCCATGCGTGGCTCTGTGCCCTCGGCGGGTCACGTGCCAGCCTCGTCGATTGGCAGTTTTGCAGACGAGGACGACGACCTTTCAGAAATTTCGGGAGTGGAGCACGTTGACTCTGAGGACGATGTCGCGTCCCTTCCAGGTGATGATTTTGGCCTTCCTCGTCGCAATAACTTCGAAGTCAAACCCCGTGGCTCCACCACCGTCGTAGACCTAGACAATTGGGGCCCGGATCTTGGGCCCCACCTCCCACATTCTCCCCACTCTCCCTCTCCAAGCGCAGCACAGGATGAGGGCCCTGGTTTGTTTGTCTCACCTGCTGAGCGCATGTCGCTCCTTCAACTGGGTCAGACTACGGCCAACGAACTTCCGACTCGTTCCGTGGAGCAGCGCCCTCGTCGCCTCTCCCGTTTGCGTGGCAACGGCGAACAACAGAGCGACCATGCATCCCCTGAGCCGTTATCAATGTCGTCGTCACCACAACCACCACCGGCACCGTTGGAAGAGACATCCGCTACTTCAATAGAGGGTTTTGTTGTTGCTGATCAGGTGGGTAATTACATGTGTGTGCTTTCTTTGGGGTGTTCGCCCCAGATGAATTGTCAAACAGCTGCTTTGCGCCCCACTCATGCACAAAACCACACTTGTTGACAGCTTCAAGCGCCAAATTCGAGCACTCCCAAGCGCAGTCGTCCACTACGCTCTTCCGGTCCGGTGGCAAATGACCCTTCGTATCTGGAGGACGAGCCTGGCGTCCCTACCACCCCTCTGCTCACGCGCCGACAGCCTTGGCTGCAGTCTGAGCACGACTCGAGCCTTGACAACTTTACTCTCAACATTGGTGCGTGCGCAGACCCTTTACGTAATCTTCGGATGATGTGAGCGCATGACAATTCAGCTCCTGTAGGGGTTTGAGCTCACACCATTGCATCACTCCCCCTGCAGCCCCGATTCCAGCCCGGCGCCCTGTCGTGAATCCTGGCGTGCATCGCTTTCCATTGATGCAGTCCGATCCGGTCAGTGTGTAGTGCATGCTACACACTCGAATGATCCTTTTTATCCACAGGAAGCATTTTGTGTCTGCTTGCTGCAACCAGCAATGCCCTTCATACCCATTGAGTTGCTCAGATGACATGTCTCACCTCGTTTTCATGCATTCTTGCCGATCGGGCGTGCGCCTTTTTACGCAGGCGCCGACTCCGCCTCGCACCGCCCGTTCAGCGTCAGCAGGCGACATTCAATTGGAGGCACCTGTGCCTCGTGCACCTCTCCATCGGGAAACGAGATCGCCCCGAACTTTGCCTGAGCCAGCGCCTGCCCGAGGTGCCCGCTCTTCCGATTCAGGAGAACTTGGCTCCGTGTTTGATGACACGCCCGAGTCGGGTCGCCTGTTAAATGTAGCGTCTGCCCCCGTGCCCATTCTAAATTCCGCTTCTGCCCCAGCTACTGCCGGACTAACACCACCGGAGCGGACCGATCCAGTATTGGGGGACCCCTTGGTCTCTCCGCTACTTGCACGACGCTCATCCATGAGCCTGCAAGCAGCCATGCCAACCCATGCCGCTGCTGAGGCCGTTGTGGATGCGGAAGCTGGAGTCCTACCAGCTTCGGATCGAGAACGTACGAGCCAGTCTGCAGAAGTACCGCCTGTAGCTGCTTTGCTCGAACAGGACGATGCCCTCTCGCAACGTCACAGACAGCCCTCTGCGTCATCCAGCGAGGCCGTGCGCTCCGTTGACGATCAATCTGTCCGCAGTTTGGCCTCGTCACTCTCGGCGAACCAGAACGAGGTCGCTTCAGACGCAGCCCGGTCCGATGCACATCACCCATCTGGGTCTGAGCTTGAACAAGCGCAGCCTTCCTCCCGCACGGCGTCGACTCAGTCAAGCACCTTCCGGCTCTCTCGCACGGCACCATCTCCGCTTGAACCGATCTCGGGCGGGGATAACTGGCCGGCCATGGTGGAGGACGAAGACAGAGAAATAGAGGAGCCAGAGGAGGACGATGATCCTAATGGCCCTCAAGATTTTGAATTTGAGCAGGATGACGATGACAACGACGATGGTCTCTTTGAAGCATCTTCTGACACGGGTGTTGCAGGTATTTCCACCGCGAATGGCAGCCATTTTGTGCTGCCTGACGTTCATTTGCCCCGAAGGCCGTCTCGCATGAGTGACGTTAGCGTGGCCAACAGCGACACAACGCAGCCGGATACTGAGAGTCCAGAGGAGAGCGATGGCGAGCGTGGCCGTGTTTTTCATCAACGGTTGAACGGTACGTCTCATGACTGCGCATGAGCGGTGTGGCTTGTCGACATAGGGCGACCAAACGATATCTGATCTCGCCCCTTGCTTTCTCATCCTGCTTTGTGTGCCTCCCTTTCAGCAACACGCCCCATGACGCGGCTCAGATCTGTGACATTTGCACACAACGTGGATGAACGCGTGCTTTCTCCACTGGTGGAAAACTCTGATCATGACTCAAGCCGTGGGCGCCTCAGCGCGCCCTCCACGCCACAAAGCTATGCGCAGCATCGCAGCCGCAGTGCACCTTCGCTGCGGCGCAGTGCTCCCTCTACGCCCGCGGCCGAAACAGCCGAGCAAGTGTTTGCTTTGGCCTCGCAGGGCACCCATAACGACTTGATGTAGGTTTTGACTTCAGAATGGTGGCGCCTATTCTTGTCCTTTTGCTGTGTTCCTTGCGTTCCCTGCGTCGTCTCCAATGGGTCGTGTGATATCGTGTGACCATTGCGTGGAAGCGCTAAGCCCAGCTCATTTCATATCCGAACTTCCCCCTTTGTTGCTCGGCCATTGTTCGTGGGTAGGCATGCCATGGTATCTGCTGCTCAGGATTCTGGGCGCCCAGCCCGTCGCTCAGCCGACGACACGAGCGCCATTCGTCGGCCGCCGCCGCAATTACGGCCACGTGCTTATACCACCGGCGCCGATTCATCGCATCGCATTTTTACATTTGACAACGCCTCGCGCCGCGATCTTGATGATGGCTTGGAGGCATTCTCGCCGGCCCGCAGTCTGCTCGAATCACAGGCTTCCTTTTCAGCGCTCGCCACAGAGCGCCCAGTGCCGCGAGCCGTATCCAATGGGCGTATGGCATCGCAAGAATCCTTGACCACAGCCGAGCCACTCGATCAATCGGACGGGTTGCTGCGCCTGCGTCTAGATGCAACAGCCGCGGCACAGTCTCGTTTGGGCTATGCCGGCCGCTTGAATAACCGTGAGGCCACATTGAGCTTCCAAGAGATGGCCGAGGATGACCAGGAATTGTCTCCCTTGACAGCCCATGCTGATAATCTCGAGGCTTCTCAACTCGAGCTTGAGCAGCTCGAACACTCTATCGTCAGCACGATGAATCGGAGCCTGGAGCCCAACATGACCGTTGAAGCGAGCATTTGTCGTACGTTCTGTTGTTGTCTCGCCTACTTGGGCGTTGCGCTTTCCAGACCACACTATGGTGTCTTTTTTTTTTTTTTTTTTTTTTTTTTTTTTTCCACATGTTGCATGCCCTGCAGCCCAAGCAGTGGTGGCATACTGCGACGGTACCTCATTGATCTCATCTTGACCCATGATGGCCTGTTCTTTGGGCAGAAGATACCACCGACAAGAATGGGTCTATTCTAGGCCTGTTTCAAGAAAGCGATGATGCGCAAGAGATTCAATCCCATCTTGACGCCATGCAGCGTGCCATGTATGTGTCCAGAGTCTTGTATGCGCTCGTCATTTCTGCCATGTCCACCGCCGTCTTGCTTGAGCTTGCTGACGGGCCCGTCGCGGTTCCATAGGTTGTACGGTGACATTATGACGAGCTACCTGGACATTCTGGTCGTGTCATTAGCAAGCCTGTATCATCATGATGATGAACTCAAGGATGAGACGCGCTTGAGCGATGAAATACATGGCACGGCCTCCCTCTTGTGGATGGCCTTGTTGGCTGTTCCCAGCCCATCTACGGCATTCAACGTGGCCACTTGCCTCAACCTTCACGCTCGCGAGGTGTACAAGCTCATGCTAAACCGACGCACGTCTGCCCGAGGCACGCCGAAGCGGGGTAGCGTGGCACACCGAGGCTCACAGAGCTCCACTCTCGCTGCGTTCATCCCGTACCTCTCATCGAACATGAGCACGAGTCATTTGCTGTGGGATCACGGAACATTGACGGTTTGTTCTGAATCAATTTTCATCATTCCTTAGCGCTTGGGGTTGGGGTTGGGGGGCGGGCGTCAATCTCTGCTCTGCTTTCGATTCATACGGCGATCACACTACTTTTGTTGTGCAGGCACGCAATGATTTTTGGACGTATGAAACAGCGGTGCTAGACGGTGCTGCCCACTCTTCCGGCATCTGGGCGTTTGGCGTTCGCCTTGAATCTAGCAGTGTAACTCAGGTATGTTCGATGAAACAATGGGCACTTGACCGGCTGCCCCTTGCGATTTTGTTGTAAGATCAGCTGGAGTTGCTTATCCACGCTTGATCGACATGGTCGCTCCAACACCTATAGATTGGCTGGTGCACTAGTGGGGCTCGCTTCCACGCGCGAGATGCTTGTGGAGTCGGTGATACTCGTGACTCATATAGCTTCGACGGCGAGAGGTACGTGGCTTTCAGATTCACAGTTCGAGATCAGTGGTGCCAAGCTTGTTCCATCGCATTCATTTTGGCTGTGCTTTCATTCTTGTGACCCCTCTCTCCCCC